CAAGTTTCCCATTATCCTCATTGTGTATTCCCTGAGCTTTGCACAAAAGCAAAGCCTGGGGAAGCAAATCCTTAAATAATTAAATACAAAATGCCAAATGCCGAGCGTTGAATGCAGACGAGGGCACTGACAATCCACTCTACATCCCTGATCGGGGGAATTCCTGCCGTAATAATGTGTAAATACTAGAATCGAAATTGTTGACCCAGTAAGAAGGCAACTTTTGTCGCTGTTCGCTGTTGGCGCTGGGGGGAACACTGCGAAGGGGGTGGGTGGTAAAAGAAAAGGGAGGCAAGCCAAATGTTAAATCTACAATAAGTTAGCAGACAGACGTAAAAAAGCGAATTCATTGACATGAAATTCGGGGAGCATTTTACGTGACAAAGCCATGAAATCGAATTTGTTAAGCGACCGGAAATGCGCTCCACTGTATGTCTGTCTGTGTGTCTGTGTGTGTGTGTGTAAGTATGTGTAAATACATATGAGGGTGTATGTTTGCTTAGAGAAAGGCTGAAGCCTTCTGCTCCTGCTGCTGTCTATATGTTTTTTGATTTATGCCGCATTTGCCTCAAGTTCTCCATGTTTTAGGCCAAGCTGCCTCCGCTCCGAATTTTAGCAAGGGCCCCGCGTATTCAGGCATGAATTTCGTGAGCTGCCTCTGGAAGCTTATTTGCTTTCCAGAGCAATGCAGAAGGGGGGAGGGAGAGGGTGAGGAAGAGGAAGAGACAGAAACAGAGGCAGAGCCAAAGACAAAGGCAGAGAATAGACGACAGGCGAGCACAAAAAGAAAGACACACTTGAAATTGTTTTTGCATTTCTTCAGCTTCTCGTCCTCCTCTCTCCTGTTGGCTATCTCTGTCTTTGTCTCTGCCTCCCTCCCCTCCCCTCCTCGCCCAACTCCTCCTCTTCATAACTAAAATGTAAAAGCTTAAGGGGGAGTGGCAGCAGCTGCTTTTGTGTGTTGGGAATGCGGCAACGACCTTCAGGTAAGCAGCACACAAAATTGTCAGAGAGAACATTACTGAAAATTAAAAGCATCGTGTGTCCCCACAGAGAGAGAGAGAGAGAGAGAGAGAGAGAGAGCGAGAGAGATGCAGGTAGGCGGAGCTAAGGACAGAAGCACAAAGCACAAAACTGGTTCAAGGGTCATGGACTCGATTGAAGGGGTACCGCACTCGCGCCCAGGAGCCCCGCCACTGAAGACTCTCAAAATGGACTATATCCAATGCAGTTGGAAGTGCTTCCTGGGTGCCTGTGTCCGAGAGTGGGAGGCTGGGAGTGGCACCCACGAGTGGTTCGTTCATAAATCAGAGCCCATGGCCCAGCCATGCCTTCTCCCAGCTTTAAGTGCCCGAGCACGTACCTGATTACAGGAAACAAAATCGAACGAAAGTTTGGGCCATGGTGGGCTATGGCTATGGCTATGGCTAAAACCTGATACGGCTCAATTTGCACGCACCCACACCCGCTCCGGCCGAGGCTGGGACTGGGACTGGGGCTGGACATCGGGGGCAGAGCTGGGGGGAATCAATTGTCCCGCACAGATTTAGGGGGTGAGAATGGGCGGGCGAACTTCCGGCAAATGGCGGCTCATTTTGTATTTATCAAGGGGGCAGGAGACGCAGCCACGTCTGGCCTGATGGCGGCATAAACTTTTATTTCAATGAGAGTCTTGAGCCATTCCATTCCATGCCAGCTGCGCCCAAAAAATAGGCATTCATTTCTTTTTGTTTGCCCTTTGTCGTAGGGGACCGGTCGAAGGGCATACGACATCCGGCATTTTCTGTGCCACAATAATACAGGCCACACTGGCATAAATTGCTCGATTATATTGCCTTTCAGTTGATCGGCACCTATGCTGATTAGGGGGGTCTCCGCGTGCTCTTCCAGTACCGCGTAAACAGGACAAGTTTTCGGCCGACTCTGAAAGTTTTGCGTGATCCACAAATGGACGAAATAATCGCCGAGTAACAGTTGCCACTGACAGGGACAGGGACTGGGACTGGCGGAGGGAGAGGGACTGTGTGGCCTTTGGAAATGAATTGCGACTGTTCTAATTTTGTGTCTGGCTGGCTGGATTGCTCCTGTTGTTGTTCCTACTCGTACTTGTGTTTGTGCTTCCCTTAAATATTTATTCGAAAAATGAGCAGCTAAGCGGAGCCCAACACACACAAACATAGGCACACACAGACACGCAGAGCCGCACACTTGCACCAGCCATCGCATACATTATTAATGCTCCCCATACGCTCCAGCTCCGGCTCCGGCACCGGCACCGGGTGCAGGTCCGACCCCCACTCGATCCGTGTGGTGTGCCTTCTGTTCCGTCTGCTCGAGGCCCCGAGAATTGGCTGAATCGCTCGATTTTGCTGCTTCTGCTGCCGTTCTGGCTTTTGCTGTGCCCTGGGCGCTGAGCGCTGGGCCTGCCTGCCTACGCCCTCCACCCACCTGGCTCCTGTCTGGCCCTGCTTCTGGGGCCCGACTGCGATTCTGTTTGGGTACCGCCTGTTGCGGCCTTCGGCCTATTATCATTTATTTAGTTATTTATTTACGTCGAGCGAGGCAGCAGCAATATTTTATTTTCATTTTAGTTTGCGGCGAATGGCAGCTCGCAGCCCGCAGCCCGCACCCCATCCGTCCATCCATCCATCCATCCGCCAGGATGTGAAATGGGAAATTGGAGTAATCGTGACTCCTTTGATTGGACTCTCAAAGGGAGTCAGGGCTATAGCCATTTGGCTATCTTAAAGTCACAAAGCGAAGCGAATTATTGTCTATCTATTGAGTTTTGCCAACAAATTATATTGCGAGCAACTGTTGGACTCGCCTTTTAACGACAGTTGAAACTATGATTTTAATTTTCTGGTTAAATTAAATTAAAATGTCTTTAAATGCATCTGAAAGTCGGACTCAGTCAGAGATTGACTCATTGTACGAGTATGGGGGAATATGGGGGAATAATCTGTACTTATTGAACAATTACTTTGGTAATAATTTGAAGAATAAACTGTAGAGAAATCTCGTCTGAAATGAAACAGCAATGGGAGAGAAAGGGCCAGAGTAAATGGGATTCCTAAGCAGCTAAGCTAAGCTTTGTGTGTGTTGTTCCTCTCTGCGAAAGACTTCAAAAGGGGAATTGTAATGATAATCACAAAGCCTCTCCATCCATGAGAATCCGAGGGCAGGCATTACAGCATCCTCCCGCTCGTATGCCCTGTGTTTGCTGCTTGTTTAGTATTAGGAAGCATACGGATGACCTATCCAATGCAACAAAAGTTGACCCACACCAAAAACCCCCCTTCCGTACTCCTCTAATGGCAGTCATTCGTCGTCCACATGGACTCTCGTATCCAGTGTCCAGTGTCCAGTGTCCAAGCACAGCCCACTGACAAGAGCTCACTGGTGGAGCAGACCCGAAGGCGGCCAGAAGGAATTGTGTTTGCATAGCGCCATTAATTTCCCACCTACGGCTCTGCTCCCTTGCTGCTCCCCATGCTTGGGGACATTTTGTGGGTTGACAGTTTTGACGAAACGTTCCCCCAATGTCGGAAATTGACTAATAATGGGGTTAATCGGCAATAACGATCATTCCCAGACAAGCTAAATTGTCAGCTAAACATGAATGCACAGCCCCCACCGCACCCCACCCCACTCGTACGTGTTTCCGATTAAAGAAGCTTTTGGGCATGAGCAGGTGCCAAAGTGAAGTATTTGCACGCGGAGCTGATGGGGCTCAAGTGTCCATTGTTGTTCTGTACAGGCAATCGTGTGTAGCAGGCAGAAGGAGAGCGGCGCCCACAGTGTCCTTGCTGTCCTTTTTGCCAAACGAAAAATCGCAGCTAGCCGCGAAGCTTTACCTCTCAGCTCTCACAGTTTACTCTGGCGGGGGAATTCAGGAAATACGAGTGTACTCGTATGTGGCTTTCACATTATAAACAACGTTTCGCCACGATGCATCGGGCTGCACGGGCTGGCAAGGCGCTAATCAAACTGGATTGGTTGAGGAAAAACTATGCAGCATGGACAGATACATATGTATGTTATGGGTGAGGGCGAAGGCCGGTGGAAAGTGACACTCACGGCACCTTTCAGCGTTTGGCTTTGGCTTTGGGTTGGATGTTGCCGGGTCGGGGATCAAGGGATGGCGCCTCAGCAGGGAATGGCATCCTGACCAAAGGAAACGCAGAGAGGACTACTCGCACGTCCTGTCCCCTGTCCGCAGCCGTTTTTCTAACGAGCAATTTAGCCGACTCATTGAAGCGGAATTAATTGCAATCGATTTTGCTTGGCGGGCAAGCAGAAAAGAGAGAAGAGACAAGAGACAGGCGACAAAAGGAGGCGGGGGGTCTTCATTAGGGCCGGGACCAGGACCAGGACCAGGGATGGGGAAAGGTATGCGATGTGCCCCAGTGGGCACTTTTATGTATGTTTGTCTTAAAGCAGAGTTTATCCACTTTAAACTGCTTTATCCGTGAAGTTTATTTTGATAAGTAATTTCCTTGGAACCCACGGGGCCACGGAATGTCTTCGACCATAATTTATCTCATGAATATCACGTATACATCACGTATTCTGTGGGGGACCTGTAGCTGGCCATGTATTCGCATGAAGCGGATGGGAAATGGAAGATGCCTGTGTGGAATGTGTCTGGCGTGGAATGCTGCTCGTACTCGTAGTCGTACGCTTGCCATTCCAAGCGATTGGACCAAATGTTTCAATCGAAAACCCAGTCAAATGTTAACACTTGCTGACTTGGCCAACTCGTGGGCGCCCACCCGTCGTCCCCCTTTCTTTCTTCTACGGATGCAGTGAAGGGTGCGAGTGTCTCCCTCTGTGTATCTCCCTCGCCTGATCGTAGGGCGGACGAAACTTTTCATGTCTCGTTCGGGTTGAAGCTTGATGGTTTTTTTTATTATGTTCGGGGTTATTCAAAAAGTTTCCCCCCCCCTCCGCAAAAGACCATAAATACAATTTTTGCTCTTTTGAATTTTTATTTGCAGCTGAATCGAAGGGATAAACTTTTGGCACGCAATGCCCACGTCGACCCGTCGGTCTCCAAGCGCAGAGTGCGGTTGCGGGGAGTGCGGTCGAGGAGACTAGAGATACAGATACAGATACATATACAGATACACATACAGATACGGGCACAGAGCTGAAGCTGAAGCTGAAGTCGAACATGTGCCAAGGCCTCGGGCCGCTTCGAATTGCTTCTGGTGAAACCGCGACGAGGGCGACGATGCTGCTTGATTTAAGCCAAGTTAAATAAACCGGCCAAGCAAACACCGACACGCACGCACACCCTCACGCACGCACGCACAGACACACACACGCATCTACATCTACATCTAGAATCACAATCACAATCAGAAGCAAAAACAAATAAGACTTTTGGACTACCACAAAAGAGAAATGGCTGCGCCCATCGATGAGAGTGTGCTGAACGCACTGAAGGGTGTGACCTCGAAACAGACCCGCCTGCCCAAGCCGCTGCTGATCAAGATCTATGTCGCCAGCCTGAAGCAGGAGTTCAACCAGGAGCGCCGCATGCTGCTGGAGCTGGTGGGGCCCGAGCTGCAGGGCCTCTACGATGACCGTCAAATCGAGGTGAGTCCTGCCTCCAGTATAATCTCTGGAATCTCTGACTCTCTGACTGACTGCCTCACACATTCCGCAGCTGGAGTTCGTGGACATGCACTTTGGCACTGGGGCCCTGGAGATCAACCAACTGGAGCGGGATCCCTATATGCTACAGGACTATCTCCACGAGATCGACACCTGTCATGCCCACACGAAGAGCGTCTTCTTCCTGGCCCTCATCGGCGACGGGCTCGGACGCCTGACGCTGCCCACGCATCTGGACGAGGACATCTATGCCGCGGTGTTGGCCGACCGTCAGACAACGCCCGAACAGGAGGCTCTTCTAGCCCGGTGGTATGAGATGGACTCCTCCAAGGCACAGCGTCAGCTGAAGCAGGACTACCGGTGAGTGAATTGAACTGCGCCTTGGGAACAGCCAAAACAGCCCATCCCCATCTGCCCAACCCCTTCAGGGTACTACCCATGGACGCCTGGCTCAGCGAGTCCCAGCAGATGCAGAGGATGCTAGAGCAGGCCCTGCACGGTTTTGTCCAAGGACCTGGGGCATCAGCGCGATCCGCAGACTTCCTGAAACGGGTCCAGCTGCTGAGGCGCACGCAGATCGAGCGCGAAGTGGAGCAGGCAATGGGTGAGCACTGCAGAACCTTCTCTATTTCTTCACCTGGCACAGTCCATCCATTCTCGCAGCGCTCTCCAGCGAGAAGATCTTGGCCGTGTTTCGGGAACGGGCAGCACAGAGCAGCAAGAGGGATGTGGAGGCCAATGACCGGCTGCGCAAGATCAAGGACGAGCTCACGATGAACCTCTCCACGGACAATCACACCACCCTAGTGTAAGTGTCAGGGTGAGGGTAGGTCTGTCTCATTATGGTTATTGTTATTGTTATTCTCATGCAACAGGGTGCCGGGCAGTGCCTCATGCGAAATGATCGACCCGGACAATGAGGACCACGAGTCCTATCTCAGCAAGTTTAAGAACAAAGTCACCGACAAGCTGCGGCTGCTAATCGAGGCGCACATTACCAATGATCCCGATGTAATCAAGGGGAGGAAAAAGACTGTTCAGGTAAGTCTCCACTGACGTGGAGTTGCTGGAAGGAGCAGCTAGCTGCTAATTGCGCCACGACAGACGAGCTAAAACGATTTGTCCTCCAGTTAAATTACATTTATACTTCACAGCATTCTTCCTCCTCCTGCACTCCACCTCCATCGTTTTTCGCACGCTTATTTAATCAACAAAAATTATACCTGTAGGGGGCTCTCCGCTCGCGCGTCGCTCTGTCCCTACCCTGTCGGCCGGTGCGGCGGCGACTCAGAAGTGGCGGGAAAAGACAAAATTAATTGACAATCATTCCACAAAGGTAAAACAATTGGCTCCAAAGGATTATTTTTGAGCTGTAATAATTTATAAACGTGCTGCAACCCACCCCTATCCCCATATCCCCATTCACTGAGAGGACCCGCATCAGATAACTACAAAATCGTTTACCCCTGAAAGCTCCATTCGACTGTCGTCCAGTCACCAGTCAGTCGGTCATTCAGTTAGCTGCCCGAACTACTTAGGCCAAGGCTTACAAATTATAACATATTTAAGTACACGGAGGACGTGTGAGTCGTTCTGGGACACGACTCTCTATACCCGTACTCAGTCAGTAAATACAGCTTATGATTTTGTAGATTTGGAAAAAAATAAAATTACGTACAACTATTACATCTACATATACAATGTCTATTCACATCTAACATGTAGATTGTACGTGTTCATTTTACATCTCCTCCGCTGGGGTCCCCCTGAACCGGCAGGTGTGCGAGCGGAAGGAAAATGGTTGCGTTGTCGTTTCGGGGGGGGGGCAGGGGAAGCAACTGAAAATTAATTTCGTCATTCTGGCTATAATTATGATCCGATCTGATTCAGATTCGGCAGTCTGGTAGATATGGGCATTCTCTACTATACTGCGTTTTTAGTTTTATCGTATCTTTAAAATTGTGGCTGCCACAGATTTTCGTCCTTTGTGGGGGCGGAAGGGGGCGGGGCAAAATTTTGAAATATACTTGTAGCAGTGTGATATCACATGAGTCTGGAAACCAAATTTGGTTGCCCTAGCTCTTATAGTCTCTGAGATCCAGGCGTCAAACAAGACGGACAGACGGACAGACGGTCAGACGGACAGACGGACAGACAGACATGGCTCTATCGACTCGGCTATTGATGCTGATCAAGAATATATATACTTTATGGGGCCGGAAAATTTTCCTTCTCTACGTTACACACATCCACATTTACCACAAATCTAATATACCCCTTAACTCTTTTTTGAGTACGGGTATAAAAAATACGGATATGGATTTCGCTTAGCACTTTGAGAATAATATCTTGCCAGGAATAGAAAATGTTCTCGGTGGCTTGCTAAAATATAAATACCCGGCTTATTCCGATTCAGCACCACTGCAAAAAAAAAGCCAGAGTAGATTTTATTGTGGGCTTAATAAAGTTTACCCCGCTTTTTTCTGGTTTCTCTAGAAAACGTTTAAAAACCGAAAACAAAATAATTTCGTTAAACAATCCAGGATTTTTTTTGGACCAACACATGAGGGAACCAGGGTCAATATTGGAGGACGGACTGTGCGAAATAGATACTGACCTTTTATTTTCATTTATTTCCCATCCTTGGCACACATCCTGAATCCTGTTAAATCAAGTAAATTGAGGAGCTCAATGAATGCACCAAAGTGGTTTCCAGTTCAGTTGCAGGGGGCGCCTGCTCTGAGGATCTCAACAAATTTCATATCAAACCTTGTTAAAGATACCCTCTACATCCGCTTCTCATCCGCTCCACATCCGCGCCGCACCGCTCCAACATCAGGAAAATCTATCTGAAAATATGTCGAATTGCAATTTGGCATTTGGAGCAAAAATTCAATTCCATTGCACGTGGGTAAGCATCCTGCGAGTGAGTGTCTGGAGTGCTTGCACGAAGGTGGGCAGGGACAAGTGGCTGGGAATGTTTGCTTTGCATATGACAGTTGTCGAAATTGAGTTTGAAAGAGATTTCCTGCAATGAAAACCCATTGGCATTGCAATCGAGCTGCCCGAATGGCAGAGAGCAGAAGAAACAGTTTGGCTCAAGGTTCAAGGACTCGGCTCCGCTTGGATCGCTTTCCGTTGCAGTTGCGGTTGTTTGCGTTGCATTTCATTGCATAAGACGCGTCCTGCCTGGCCCACTCTCCCGTCTCCCGTCTCCCGTCTGCCGGATGGCTTTTGTTGAAAGCATTTAACATTTTAGCTCGGTCGCATCCGAAGGACGACGCGTAACCTGAACTGGTCTGGGCCATTAGCGGACATGGCCTGGCCGGAGGGCCATCGCCTGCCCCTTCGCACCAGCTCTCCTGACATATTAACACACTTACACTTGGTCACAGTGTTGCCACGCCCAGGTCGTCCCCCTGTTTGCACTTAACGGTGCAGCAACATGAACTGCACTCAGTCTCGGTCCTGCGGCCCCCCAGCCCCCCCACCACCAGTGCCACTCCAGCCCTGGCTTGGATAAGAGTGTGGCAAAGGCATATCCTGCGTCCCCACCACTCTGACAAAATGTTGTGGCATTTGTAGCCGCAACCAAGAAATATGCAAAGTGTGCCCTGCCCCTGCCCCTGCCCCTGCCACCCTTCCATCCTCATGCACGGGTGCACCTGCGGCTGCGGCTGCTGCACCACATTGTGTGAGCAACTCTCGTGTGGCAAAGGCAAAGGCAAAGGCAAGGCAGAGGCGACCTTTGGCACTCGAATGAAATTAAATTAAAGCAAGTCAAATGCCAACTAATTAAGCAGCAACTGTGGCTGTGGAAGCCTGAGAGCGCCAGCGAGTAGTGGGCGCGGGGCAGCGAGGGTTTTTCTGACGGCGCCTGGCAATATTGATTTAGTAGCCCAACCCTCGAGAAATGCATTACGCAGAAGCTGTCAAACGAGATTTGCGAAGCAGAAGCTGCTTACAATCAAGACGGTGGCTGGAGGGGCTGGAGGGGCTGGAGGGCTAGAGGGGGCTTCAGCTGGAGAGTAGGACTGAGCCGGAGTCTGATCCTGGCAAGGACACGTTGACTACTTGTTAGTGGCAAACATGCCACGGCCAGACAAGGTCCTCACCTTCCTCCCGCCACTCCACTATGCTCCAGTTCCTTTCCTCTCCTTTCCACTCAGCAGGTGACACAGAGGTGCAGGTAAACAAAGTTGCGGGGCAAGCACGCTGAATGCCACTCACATTCAGACTTATAAAGATGACGACGATGATGTGGTGACGTGGTCTGGTCCCGGGCCAAACGGAAGCGGATGATACCCTGACATATACATATACATGTACATATGTAGACGAAACGTGTGTGCCTCGGGGGGAAGTAATGAACGAGCTGTATGGAGGGAGGAGGGGGTCGGTCACAGACAGCATCTGGCCTGAGATGAATTGGACTGGTGGACGGAAGGATGTGAGTGAAGTGTTGAGTGGGGATGTGTGTGTGTCTGTATGTCTGTATGTGGCCTGCAAATCCAATTACTGACAGACCAATGCCGGCACCGGCTGAAGAGCTTAAAAATAAATATCTATGCAAATTATTTGCATGTGTGCATGTGTGTGGACGCACAACGCGTTTCGCATGTAATCCGAAATAATTACAATCTGTCAAAGGGCTGTGAACGCTACGAGCCGAGTATCAGCCTCGTTTGTCGAGCTGGAACTCGGTCCTTCGATCTATTCAATTAAGAGCCAGGCAGAGTCCTGGGCATGGCCCAATGGTGGGAAACTGATACTTATCCGGCTGAAACGCACTGTTCGAACTGTACGAGTACCTGAACTCTTCCTCTCTTTGGTTGCAGGAAATCTTTCACGAGCACGCCACTCACCTGCGCATCCTGCGGGATCACGTGGAGAGCGCGGCCCTCATTGAGTCGCGAGTGCCGCCGCAGCTGCGGCAGAATCTGATGGCGAACTTCAGGAACGGAAGCCGGCACGCGCCGTACTTCATTTGCGGCTCGGATGGCAGCGGCAAGAGCGCCCTCATCAGCACCCTGTACGGGCAGGTGGGCAGCTGGTTCGTCTCGACGCGGGTCCACCGCGTGATCCGCTTCGCCAAGGCCACGCCGCGCTCCGCCTACAACCTGGAGCTGCTGCGCGTGATCTGTCAGCAGATCTCGATTATCTTCAACATCCCGGAGGGCTACCTGCCCAAGGACGCCTCCTTCGACCCGCTGTACATCAGCACCTGGTTCCAGAACCTGCTGCGCCGCGTCGAGGACATGAGCAACGACGTCCTCTTCCTGTTCATCGACGACTTGCACCTGCTGAACCCCCTGGACTGCGACATCGTGACCGCCCTCTCCTGGCTACCCACCTCCCTGCCCTGGAACGTACAGATCATCTGCAGCTCCACCACCCCCGTCGAGCAGCTCAAGTTCACGCCCATGCAGCGGGACCGCTTCAAGTCGGCGGAGTACCAGTTCGACCTCAACCTGGGCGAGTACGCCACGCAGCTGCAGCGACCCCCGCAGTGCGTGCCCGAAGTCAGCTTCGTGCTCTACGTGGAGCAGCAGTTCGACGGCCTGGAGCGGCACTACGGCCGGCAGGCGGTGGGCAGCCTGGCCGCCTACATCACCTGCTCCGAGTACGGGCTGAGTGAGACGGAGCTGCTGGAGCTGCTCATGCCCACCGACGATCCCGAGTCGCTGATCGACACCAGAAGCGGACACTTCAGCTTCGCCACCTTCAAGAAGATCCACAGGGAAATGGGTGAGTAGTGGGACCATCTCGTAGTGCGGAAGGGCATCTGTCTATGTCCCTTTGTGGTTTCGTGGTTTCGTGGTTTCTTGCAGACAAACTCCTGCTGCTGCACGACAAGATCATGTCCGGCAAGGTGCTTATACAGTGGCGCCACAACTACTGCGCCGTGGTGGCCAAGAGGCGGTACATGGGCTGGCAGAGGACGCGCAACCTGCACATGGAGCTGGCGAACCTCTTCTTCCCGCAGGACGAGGACGAGAGCACGCTCGAAAACGAGTCCACGCAGAGTGAGACCAAGTCCGTGATCAGCCTCAGGGACAGTCTCAGGGAGCGGGATCTGCCGCACAAGGACAGGGAGCGCGAGAAGGACAACGTCTCCGCTGGTCGCAAGTCCTCGTCCACCCACCACAACGACGACACCTCCACCTTCTACAACCCCATCGCCGCCGACGTGAGCTACAGCATGCGGCACGTGGAGGAGAGCTGGCACCACCTGATGCGCTCCGACGACACGACTCGCTTCAAGCAAATCGCAGTCTGCAACTTTGATTTCCTGCTGGCGGCGGTAAGCTCGTGGCTCAGTTTCCACCACTCCCCAATTATGTAGTTCTGGGGAAACGAAACGGTCCCCCTTCGCAATCTCCGACCAGAAATGCAATCAACTCTGTTCTGCTGGCCCCGCAACTGCAGGGAGCTCTGCCTAATTGCCTGCCTAATGTGGCAGTCAAACTGTCAATTCTCACTTGAGTACGAGGCATGTACGCATGGGTGTAGTTTCATGTTCCAAATATGGCCAGAAAACGGAACAGAGTCCATTTGTTCGCCCAGCCTGGGACAGGCGTAAAGAAGGCAATGGAGGAGCATCGTTCCACACGAACTTGCGAGAGATATGATACATATTCGTATTTTTAATTAGCGTTGGAGTGGCTTTAAATGGGTTGCTCTATTTGTATTTGCATAGCTGAAAGTGTGCTCCACTAAAGGCCAACAGGGATAATCCCATTTAAACGGGTAATTTATTAAATTTGTCTCCTCCGAGAGCTAGTTCCAAGCGACCATGCGACCATTTGGGACATGCTGAAAATGTATAATCAAATGGTTAAATCCCGTACAGCTGTCAGCTCTCCGCCGTTCCCGTTTGTACGTTTTATGTGCGCCAGAATCAGAATCAGAATCAGAGGCAGAGGCAGAGGCAGAGGGAAGAGCCCGGGCAGAGGCAGGAAAAGTTTGCCTCTCTTTTTTGTTTTTCTCGGATTTTATTTCGTTTCGGCTTATTCATTTATGCAGCCACTCATTTATTCAGTCAGACAAACTCATTATTCGGATCTGCAAGGCACTGCATCCAAATTGCGCAACTCTCCGTGCGTGCGTGTGTGTGTGTGTTTGTGTGTGTGTGTGTGTGGGAGAGAATCGAATTAAAGTATTTTGCTGAAAGTGTTTTTGCCATCCAATCCCTCCTCTGCCATGATGAGTTTCGACCGTTCCTTGTTGAGAGCAAATGAGTGCAAAACAAAAGTTGCAAATAAAAAGCGAAACAAATTTGCCGTAATTAACGAGAACCGATAACAGTCTCGGCAGCACCGAACCCATCGATACTTGCAACACAAACTCACACACAATTCCGATACACTCTCTGGTACAGGTATCTTTTATTTAACTCTACACAAAAGAAGGGAAAGAAGAACGAGAAGTAGAGGGCGGCATAGTTGATGGCTTTTACAAGCAAACTCCACCCCCACCCCACCCCAAACAGTTGCCATAAAATGCTTTGCATTCTCTACTCTATTTCCGTACTGTTTACACTTTACATTGCTGAACATTGCGGTGCCTGCCCATGGCCACAGTAAGCGTACCCCAAGATAGTGAAAAAATGGAGGAAAAGCGAGCGAGAAAAAGTAACTGGCGTCAAACAACGCAGACATTTAATTAAATCAACTCTTTTCCTTGTTGTGAGCTGCATTCGAGAACAGATAGTGGCATAAACTTTAGGTAATTGGCGCTTTAGTTGTCCCACTTTGAAAGGATTCAAAGGGACGTCAGAGATGAAGAGATTTAATCAGATTCCTGCCCCTTTGTTATTGCCTTTGAAGATTGATTAGTCGCCGCCAGTGTCTTCTTTGCTAAAGCCAATTAAAACTGTCGCCAAAGCTCTGAGGGGAACATTTATTTAAAGTAAATTGAAGCAAAATCAATGCCTGAATCGAGCGAATATTTACATGTATATTAATTCCGGATTAAATTAATTAAATTACTCCGCCTTCCCCCCGCTCTTCATCCAGGTACAAACGGTCTCGATCAGCTATTTGCGCTGCCTGATCGAGCACGTGCGCTGCTATATCCTCGATAGGGACATCGAGCTGATCTACTACACGATACGCAAGTCCAGCGACGTGCTGACCCGCGACCCCATGCAGCTGGGGTCCCAGCTGATCTCCTGGCTGCGTCCGATCAGCGAGCACGACGACGACGACAACTCGCTGCTGAGCATGACGGTACGGTCGGCCACCGCCTGGTGCGACGGATACGCTGTGCCGCTGCTGGTGCCCCTCACGGGATGGCTGCCAGCACCGCTGCCCTCGCAGATTCGCACCATGACGGTGTCGGGCACGGGCGTCATCCGAGCCGTCTGCCTGGCGCCCTCGAAGCAGCACCTCATCCTGGCCACCAGCTCGGGCGAGGTGCAGCAGTGGCACATCATGAGCAACTCGCTGGAGCACATCTTCAAGGGTGAGTCGGGCCGAGTCCTGTTCCGCGTAATGTCCTGCCATTAGGCGAGCTAATCATGCGACTCCATTTGCGATAACGCCCCCCCAGGACACACTGCGGCAGTCACGTGCCTGCTGGTGGCCCCGACAACCGAACCGGAGCTGCTACTCACCGGCTCCGAGGACACCAGCGTGCTGGTCTGGCACGTCTCGCAGCGCGACCGTCGGGCGCACATAAAGTGAGTGCTCTCCCTCTCCCTCCTACTCCTCCTGCTGCTGCTCCTCCTACTCCTCCTACTCCTCCTACTCCACCACTACCCCCCAACCCTCTGGGTAATTTGTAAATCTCTGCAGGCACAATTTATCCATCTGCCATCCGCCTCTCTCTCTCTCTCTCTCCCTCTTGCCCGCCTTTTCGTTTCAGCGCCCACACCGCCCCCATAACGGGCGTGGCAGCCGGGGTCAATAATACGCTGATCATCAGCAGCAGCGAGGATGCGACAATCGCCATCACAGACCTGGCCAGCGGCAAACTGGTGAGCAAACAAACACACACAGAAATATTGTACAATGCTGTGGGCAGGACATGGCACGATGTCCGTTGAACAGTGAGTAGCAGTGGTTGTAGGTGGCATGCCACTCTGTGGACAACTGGATTAGTTAATTAAATTACTAAAGCCGTGAAGGCATCGTTGAAAGAAAGGGCATCGAGTCAGTGAGATGCAATGAGTGTTGGCTGCAATTGTTCCCCCTCGAAGCCTGCCCATCTGAATGTTTCTATTGGAGCAATTCCTGTTACACAACTCTGCTCATATCCTCACAAAGGGAGGTGTAGTATCCAGCAACTTGATTTAAATTCCTGCATTTTTAAATTTGTTAGACCCAGAAGCGGGATTGAATTAATATATTTGATACTCGTGCATTAAAATATGCCTTAGGAACGATATGTACGCATGCCTGTTGAAATCGTCGGCCCTTAAGCAGGCAGCACAAGCAACCAGGCACTCCTGAACACCTGCTCTCGATATATACTGGTGAAATATTATAGATTCAGATAAGGAAGAACAGACGCCAAGGTGGCAGTTTTACTTTGAGTTGAAGCGAAATGCAAATGGGGACGATACGAGGAGCGCAGCTTCCTTTTGCTGTTTATAGTACATTTTACTGGCCTTTGGTTGGAATGCTAATGGAAAACGGAAAATGGCCATACCGAAGCTAATTGCGAAACCGCACCGCACCGCAAACCAAATCAAACAGACCAAATGCATTTGCATAATTTCTGTGTACGCGGAACAGGAATTGAAATACGCGAAATGTGACCTCTCACCCCCGGCCAGTGACGCTTCCCCATGCCACAGAGGAGGCAAGGTCACACCTAAGGCGAGGCAGGGAGAGTGGGGGCTTCTGTGGGGTCGGATTCTGGACGACATGTGTGCACTGCTTGTTGAACATGAGTTTGAGCGGCAGCCTCGCCACGCACTTGCGGCTGTTCCGCGTCCCGACCGGCAAATGAAGCGTAGCGTAAGCCTTCCGGGGGTCGAGTGTTCTACGGCGCAGCCCCCACATCATCAGTCATACTAAGTTGATATTTCAGAGGCGAGAGGCAGACATTAAACTGTGATTACACACAATGCCCCATGTTTGCATACCAAGTGCGGGGATGGGATGGGATGGGATGTGTGTTACGTCCTTGTTCTCCTTCTCGTCCTCGTTTCGGTGTTTCGGTGTTCAGGCGTCCTGTTGACACACATATGTACGTACTCGTAGAAATTGGATTTATTGCCACTTCGTTGGCCCCGGGCATCGCATCTTTTAAAGTCAATTTCGCTGACTTGGCTCCCGCACAGTCACGTAATTGGCCATCAGTTGGTGAGGGTGTAGGTGGAGGAGGCAGTGGGTCTAGTACTCACCCACACATGCACAAGCATGCAATTACGGGCGCTTATTGAATTAATTAAAATATTACGTATACGCAGCGTCATGCTGACACTTCCTTTCATGTCGCCGCAGTTTTTAAAGTTTGGGTTAATTTATAAAACTTTTGGCATTCTCTGCGGTTCGCCTGTGTACGGGCACGCTTGCTACCTGCCCTTCCGCCTTGCCCCACAGAACCCCATCGCGTGCCAGGTGATAATTAACTTAATGCATACAAAATGTGACACAAGGACACAAACACTGGCAGAACGGAACAAGAAAAAGAACAAGAACAGAAAGGATATGTGGCATGTGTCACGCACAGACTTCTCAGTCAACTTCTCCTGCCCCTGATTAATATTTAAAGAGTGTTCGCTTAGTAGACCATTGAAGCAAATTGCAATGCACTGCCCACGGCTTCGGCTTTGCATGACCTTATTTAATTTATTATGTGTTTTTTTCCAGAAACACCGCATCAGCCACCACCGCGGACCGGTGAGCGGGATCCTGGTGGCCGGAGCGTGCGATGTCCTGATCTCGGGCAGTCACGACCGAACCATCTGCGTGTGGAACCTCGAGAACTTTGCGCTGCTGAACACCATGCAAATGATGAGTCCCGTCCTGCGCATCGACATCTCATGGAACTCGGTAAGTGACTTTATTATAAATAAATATTTCCCCATTCCTGTCCTGTCCTGTCCGGTCCTTTTCCGGTGGCCACAAATCTCTTTCAATGTTTGATCGACAAGTCCTTCGCCGCAATGTAACTGAATGGAATGGAAGAATATCCTAATGGATAAATGACTATTCAGTTCGCGGGTAATAAGGAATGGATTCGCGAGGCCTTGCCGAAAACTCGTTCTAGTGTGGGCACGGGACTGTTTTTAAGTTAAATGGAAATACTCTTACGAGGAATAAAGTTGATAAGTTCTCCCCCATAAGGATTCTCCGCTTGCTGAGCTCTGTGCTCTTCCCAAGCTGAAATAAAAATAACACGAGGGGGAGCCAGCAGAAACGAGGAGCTTAAAGCACATTCCACTTGAGCGAAACTTTTCCAAGTGAAGCAGAAGCAGAAGCAAAAGCAATGGCGAAAAGCGCATCTTAAGCAGAGGGTGATGGAGGTTGGGCGATTGAGAGCGATGGGGAGTGGCAATAGAAATGGAGAAAAAATATCATTTCCGGTTTGCTTCGAACTGGAATTCGTGTGTGCGACTCATCTCTGTGGCTCTGCGAGCGTGTGGGGGAGTCCATGTCCATGTGCACAGTTTAAAGCCAAGCTAAATGGATGTGAGATTCGCTTGGGAACGGCAGATAAAGCGGAGCGACTCTGGGCGGTTGCTGTGGGGAGCTTTAGCGTGGGGAGCTGCTGGGGAACAGACAACACAGGATTCTAATAAGCGACTTCGGCTTGGGGACGCATTACGCGCCAAATCCTTTGTTGTCAATCAGCTCGACAAAACCAGACCAGAAGCTACCCTACCCTACCCTTCTCCTGGTGTGAGTGAGGGGTGAGGGTGAGGGTGAGGGTATGGCATGGAGTGCGTGTGCCTGCCTTCATCAATAAGTATTGCATACTTAGCGGCAATTTGGCACGCAGAACAAAACAACATCGAGATACTGGGTCGATACTGGGGCGAAATGGGGGCGGGCGACACTGAGGTGAATCCAGGGGACGAGCCATTGTGTCACGTTTTGTCGTCGTCTTTTGTCAATGGCAACTATGTGTCGCCCCCGCCCCCTCTTCCTCTCGCGTGACGATTGATGCGTGCTCCCATTTCCATCACTGTCTCCTGCCCTCTGCCTTCTGCCAAAACTGTCTCCCATTCGCGCTTCCATTTATCCAATAAGTCCACAGAAGGCAGGCAACAGGAAACCAGCTGTAATTCAAGGTGTCCTGAGATTGGGACTGTGACTGGGGCTGGGGCTGGGGCTGAGGGTTTGGTGCCTCCCTTTGCCCTTGGAATCTTCAGTTGGAGCTACCTAGAGGGCGAGAGATGGAGCGGCTCAACCACCAACGGACTTCCTCCGTGGCAATCCTGTCGGCATTCCGTTCCTGATCCTTGCGGTCTGCAATCGAAATTAAATTTCACACATTGAAAATTGCCCATAAGCAGGCGGAAAAATGGTTTCACGAAAACAAGGACATCATCTCCTTTAGTGGGGCAATTCGGCGCTGCCAATAAATATCCTCCCATAAATTGAAATGTAATTCCACCCCGCCACGAAAACATACACACAGATGTGCCTACATATACATACATACATACATACATACATACGTCTGCATATGTATGTATGCACTGAGGAAAAAACGAAGGCGGAAAAAGTTTCTTGCATTCCGTTGGCTCCCATTTCCCTTAATAGCTCAATCACTCACAGACTATTGTCGCACGCTTCGCCAATTGGCACCGTTTCGGATATCTGATTGTTCTCAGTGTACTTCTGAAAGTGAGGTAAACACGAGGAAGGGTGAATACGCTGGGGCACGGTGGCCCCTTGGCCCAGGTGTCTTGGCCATGGCCAACGGCAATCAGTAAATGTAAATTCCACTTTCTTACACTTACACTTTGGCTTGCATCCCGATGGCCTTGTGGCAAGCCGTTGACCCAGCCCCTCCCTGCCCCCTGCCCAGCAGTCCACCTGCAGATCCCAGAAATGTAAATGCAGTCGCATGGTTCGTTATCATCCTGCGGAATGCAGGACTCCCGACTAGTTCCCCTTTGGGTTTGCCCCGAAGTATAATTTTCGAGATGATTCCTTTGCTGGAGCTCCCATTCACATGTTTATCCCTCTCGCTCGCAGGTGTTCCTCCTGGCTCTCTGCGAGGACAATGCTCTCTATGTGCGCACTCTGGCCACGGGCAAGGAGCTGCACACGCTCAAGGGACACAAGTCAAAGGTGAGTGTCAGTTTCAGTGTCAGTGCCGGTGCTGGTGTTGGTGGCAAGGCTCGAAAATGATCCGCCACCCTTGCAGGTACGGACCATTTCCATTGGCAAGGACAGCCAGCGCTGCGTGGTGGGGTGCGACGATACGCGGGCCCTGATCTACGACATGCACTCGGGCAAGCTGGTGCGCTCGATGCCACCCAACCCGGGGCCGGTGACCGCCGTCTATGCCATGGAAAACGACGACTTCCTGATCACGGTGGGCGGCAACAAGATCACCTTCTACTCGTTCCGCAACGAGGAGCTCTACGTGAACCCGTACTCCCGCAACCCGCGCCGCAAGCGCAGCCTGAAGCGGCACGCCCAAGCCCAGCGCTCGCCCTCGACGACCCTGCCCCCGATCACGTGCTTCGACCTGTCCCGCGACTCGCAGCAGATGGCCATCGCCTCGGGCCGCAGCGTGCACCTGATGCGGATCAACACGCCGGAGTACCAGTGCAGCCTGGAGGGGCACGCGGGCGTGGTCAACTGCCTGAAGTTCGCGCCCAACGGAGAGTTCCTCACCACGGGCTCCGAGGATCGGCTCGTGCAGGTTTGGAACCTGGCGGCGACCGAGACCATCAACACCTTCAAGGGGCATGCGGCGCCAGTGGTCAAGGTGGTGGTGCTGATGGACTCGCTGCGGGTCATCTCCACGGACCGGGACTCGCTGCTGCTCGTGTGGATGGCCGACTCGGGCAACCTGCTGCAGACCATCCAGGGGCCGTACAAGAGCCTGGTGGTGACCAACAACATGCGCTTCGCCGCCTCCAGCAACGGGGACAACACCCTGAAGATCTGGTCGCTCACCCAGGAGGACGAGAAGTACTCGGTCTCGCACTCGGACGAGATCACCTGCTTCGAGATCAGCGCCGACAGCATGCACATCATCACCGGCTCTCGGGACATGTCGCTGAAGGTGTGGCAGTCCACGGGCGGCAAGCTCAGCCAGGTGCTGGTGGGCCACAGCGACGCTGTGACCTGTGTGTCCGTCTCGGTGACCAACAAGACGCAGGTCCTCTCCGGCTCCAAGGACACGAACCTCATCCTGTGGGACCTGCTCACAGGCGAGGAGGTTCACACGCTGGCCGGCCACTTGGGTCCTGTCATTGGAGTGAAGGTGTCGGCCGATGGTGAGTCCCAGTCACTCCCGTTCCCTCTCCCTCTAATCCCCATGTCTAATCCGCTCTCAGGTTCCACGGCTGTGTCGGGCAGCGATGACAAGACCTTGATCGTGTGGGAGACGAAGCGTGGCCTGGCCCTCACCTCGCTGCAGATGCACGTGCCCTTCACCCACTTCGACATCAGCCTGGAGGTGTCGCGGGTCCTGGTGCAGCTGGTGGACAGCTACAATCTGCCGGTTATCTGTCTGCACAACACCCCGGCGCAGTATGTGAAGCTGCCCACGTACTCGGGACCCACCAAGGATGTGGATGGTCTGTCTCCGTCTGTCCCTTTGAGCGGGCCCTGTAATTCCAATCGCCTTCCTTTCGCTTCCAGATCTCCGCCCGCAGGGCCCCAAGCGCCAGATGAAGCGGCTGCTGAAGAAAGAGGTCTCCCTGGACACGTACACCTGGCAGAAGAAGTACGGCCACCTGACCTCGTCGGTCATGATGGCCCAGGTCGATGAGCGCCTGAAGCGCCGCTTCAGCGTCTCTGCCAGCATGGAGGAGATCTCCAAGATCGCCGAGAACAAGACGGGAGCCTCCCAGGCCAACCTCGGCCCCGAGCAGGCGGCTCTGGCCCAGTCGCAGCACTTTGACCAGCTGGAGGCGCTGTGGAACAAGCGATCTCCGCCCCGTCGCCGCCACAATGCGGTAAGTCGATGCTCCGTAGAGGCATCCTGCATCCTGCAGGACCTGCACGGCCATAACCAGATCTGGTCCGGTCTGGTCCGGTCCGATCTTAGCCACTGTTCGCTTTTGTATTCGTTTCCATGGCAGTAGAAGGCGCTCACGATTTGGTTTTTGGTTTTTCTCTTCCTTTTCTTTCTTATCATTTCGCTTCTCGTCTCTGTTTGCTTACACATCAATCTGAAATCTGAAATCTGAAATGTGCAATCTGAAATCTGCCATCTGCAATCTGCAATTCGACCTGCCACAGGGTCTGTCGAGGCAGACTTCGCTGGTGGAGGACCGACTCGAGTCGTCGGACGACGACGAGTACCAGGACGAGCGCGCAGGTATGTTGTCAGCCTCCTACGACCACATCCACCTCCTTGCACGCTTGCCTGGCATCCGCTCCCTGCACGATGCATGGAAGACGAACAGTCTGCGCGTGCCCAGAACCAAGTTCTATGTGAGCACCCCCCCACAGACCCACAGCAGCCACCAGCTGAACGCGACCAGAACGCGGACAGAACACAGCCCCACCCCCACCTCCGAACAGAGCCCCGAGAGCCCTATGACCTTGCACCGTGTGGCGCCCGATCTGGTTAGAGATCTGCTACACCCGACCCCGTCGCCGGCAGAGTCCCCTCGGCTGATCACTCTGCGCCAGTTCTTCCACTGGCCCAGCCTGAAGTCACACCTGATGCGCGGCCAGCGCCACAGGAACTGCATATCCGTCCAGCCCCACATCCGCCTGAACCCGCCGGACCGCCCTGTCCGCCCGGTCCGTCCCACGCCCATCATCGTGGTGGAGAACTGTGACAGCCGCAATGTGCAGCGCCTGCGCACCGATCTGGTCCTGCATCCGCAGTATAGTCGCGCCTCATTCGGTCACATCGAGGCGGACGACCTCGAGGTTCCCTTGGCCAAGAAGTCGTCTACCTCATGTGGCGGCCACCTCCACCGTCGCTGGCACCTCCTGCGCCACAAATCCCCATCCGAACGGAGGGTCCCCCATCGCGACTCCCAGGCCAATTCCAATTCAAATTCGAATTCAAACCCACAAGAGCCAACAGCCACTTGCAGCGAGTGTGTGGTCCAATGATACTGTCATACCACCACCAGCAACACCACCAGCCAGCCCCACCACCCGACGAACTCTCCTCCACAGCCACACAACCACTTAGCTAGCTATCGAGTACACTGCACCACACGACTTTTGTTCTCACTCCTGCACTCCTATTCAACTCTCTATATTGTGTATGTAGTTCCGGCCATGCGTAGATGCTCTCGACTAGTCAAGTTGAACCTATTTATTTTAATAAAAGTTGCAACAATTTATTTGGTTTTATTTTGCGTGCTCGTTCAATTATTATCCCCAACTATCAATAGCACAATGAGCAGCAGACCCCACAGACGCCAGGTGAGTACACTCAGCGAAGAAGGTGGAACTACACCCAAAGCCCACTCCATTCACTCCATGAGACATCAGTGAAGATGGGACAACCTTAGGCACTCCCTTTGTTTCTGGTCAAATTCGGATATGTTCAGAGAACATTGCTTATCCATCCAACAGGGATATACTTACACAAATGATTCAGGTACAGTCGGGAAAGATTTGGGAATAGCTTAAATCGATTCGAAGCCATGCGGAAATAACCAGTCCGGTGGTAAGTAGGGAATAAAGCCTCGCACCCCCAAAGCATTACTTTGATTCGATTAGAATGGGGCAGCATTGAAACTTGGGGTTCCCAAGTACATATACATATATAATCTGTAGCAATATTATTTCAGCAAGAGGATTCAAAAGCCATTTCCTAAGGTATTGTGTCATGAGGACTAGAAGGCAATATATCACCTGCATCACAGGCTCAAGGATGCCAGACACTGGGTGTTTGATTTCCTTTTGCTTGGCTTGCATTAAACTACTCGAAAAAATTTACCTTTTTATTTATGCTTCGAACCAAACCAACTTTTTCTGACGGACTTAGGGCCTTACATTTTTTAAAGAACTATGATTTTTTTTCAATGGCAGATCTTTTTTTTAAAGATTTTTTATTTATTTTTTGTATTGCTTTCTTCAGAGGTAGCCCTTTTTCACATAACTTATCTTACATGCCATATAAAGCCCATAAATTCAGCTTTAAATTGTAACTAAGCTATTTGTGGTTTCAGCTTACCGTCTGGGGAGTATTAAGCTTTCAAATGCAAAACTAATGGTTTTTGGGATGTTTTCTTATACCCGTACTCAAAAAGAGTTCAGGGGTAACTATTATATTTGTGGTAAAAGGGGATGTGTGTAACGCAGAGAAGGAAACCTTTCCGACCCAATAAAGTATATATAGTCTTGATCAGCATCAATAGCCTAGTCTATATCTGTATGTCTGTCTGTCCGTCCGTCCGTCTTGTTTGTCGCCTAGATCTCAGAGACTATAGAGACTGTATCGGAGAGAATGACCATATCTACCAGATTGCCGAATCTGGGTCAGATGGGAGATCAGAGTAAATTAATTAATTTACTGTTGCTTCCCTCACCTCCTCCAGCGCTGCTGATGCTACTCATTCTCTTTCTCGCTCGCACACACTCTGCCCTATGCAGTGCGCGACCTATCGCAGAGAACATGCAGAATCTACATTGTAGATGTATAATAAACATGTTAGATGTAGATGACTGATGAAGCAAAAAAATGTTCCTTCTCGTTTTTTTCAATTTTATTTTAATAACTAAGTAAAAGTATATCCTGTGTCTTTATATTTTTTTGTATGGGCGCGTTGTTTAAAGTTTATGTAATTCAAAAAATTATACAAGTTTATGAAGAAACTGCTGAGCTAAAATTGGTTGACCAACCCTTCGTTTGGAACGTTGCTGATTACAACCAAATGTAAAATACTTTAGTTATGTGACAAAAAGAAGCACTACCTCTCAAAAAAGCTTTAAAAAAATACCATATTTTAAAATATCTTAAAAAAAAAAAAAAATGTCATTAAGCATTTTTAAAAAAAAACTTGTTTTGGTACAAGGCGTAAAATTGGTGTCGGGTAGTGCTATCGGAGGAATACGGAAAAGTTAATAATTCGATTTTCCTCGTGAAATGGCAACGGACTCACCAACAGAATTATTTATTCGACTGCAGAGGGGTTTCACTACTGCCGTCATCATCATGTGTAATAATGCTCAATAATGCTCTCTCCCCCAATCCGACCCGACCCGACCTGACCACTGGGCGCGCTCATTTCCCAGTTGGCGAGGCATGAAATTGCAATCAATGAAACTGCAACCCGATTAACTCGATAAAGTAAAGCCTGGCTGGGTAATGGGTAATGAATTGAATCGCCCGATTTAAGCGAATTAAAATCCATCAAACCGAATGGAAGCGAGTCAATCGAGGTATGGGCAGGGGCAGGGCCTGATCTGGCAGCTCTTTCAGAAGTAAACCATGCCCAGGCTCAGGCTCAGACTCAGAATCAGACTCAGGCCAGTGAGGTAAGCAGCTGAAAATGCGTTCTCCCAGCTCTACTTTAAGTTCATCAATTCAATTCTCCTCAGGCATGTTTTGCTCTCTCCACTCTCCACTCTCCACACTCCAGACGACCCATCCCAAAGCCAGAACGCAACTTGAACCTCTCTCTGTACCATACTATGCGAACATTGTATCCATCTCGAACATCTGAATGTGACTTGTTACTTGATTTGTTAATATTCGTACTCGTTCTACTTATACATACTCGTATATATTTTTACTACCTCCCAATCTTCTCGAACCATCTCGAATCTCGATGTGTATATATATATGTATATGTATAGCTCTTCTCTATATATATATACTCGTATACCATGTATCTGTTGTATACACTTGAATATATTTTGAATACTCGTTGAATTAAAGTTGTTGTCAAGTTGCCAGACATACACACGCACACACACACACACACCGTTGTTTGGACAAGGTTCCGCTTTTAACGAAAATGAAAATGAAGTTCCCCATTTTCCATTCCAACAACCAACAACCAACCCGACCAAACCACAACTCCAAAATGAACCAACAACGAAACACCACCAACAGCCAACGCCCACAGTTCGAAAACCAGTTCCCGCAGCTCACTGCCCCCATAGACAACCAACCAACCAACCATCCAACAAACTGTGACCGCAGTCCGCAATAGCAGAGCATCAAATGGCACGGCACGGCACCACGGCACCCAACAGCCAACCCAACAGCTAACCCAACAGCTAGATAATACATATGTACTACGTCGATAAATATTACAAAAACCTAAATCTATAGAAAACGTTGTTTACTCAGCTCACGGAATGTTTGCAAGGAGAACGCACACATCACATCACATACACATACACATACGCATACGCATACGCATAGATATAGGATCTACAATATTTAAATAGCAGAAATATCCCCCCTCTCGATTGGCATGAGATCTCACTGAACCAAATGAATGAATAGAGCACTCCCTCCCTACTTATAGTAGAGTAGTAGAACCCACCACAGAACGGCACGGCACTGTCCAAATTGACGAACCCAATTCGACAAATTCGGCAAGTGTGTAGAATATTTTGTGATTTTGTTTTCTGTTTTTAGACGACTTCGACGATTTCTTTTAGGGGAAACAAACCTATTGTCCCAGTATAAGTAAAGTATAAGAAATACTCGTGCTTAGGAGATACTTACATACATACATATGTACATATGTATGTATATGTATGTATGTACCACATAACTTTCGAACAGACTCGTACCTCACGCAAATGCTGAAACCACTTTTGAGAATTCTACATGCAAGAAATACTCGTACCGAAACCAAATCGTTTAATAGAGCTATAACAATAATATTATTAACCAAATAATGACACAGAGTTGACTTGCACTAAGCAGACTGCACCTCCAGCTGGATCCAATCAAGTAAGTAGACAACCAACCGGCTAAAGAGGCACAGATACATATGTACATACATATGTATTTGAAAGTACTTGCACCCCTTGGCAGCTAGAGCTTATCCACCTTCTATTAATTTGGAAAGGAGTGGCTGCTGGAACCAGGTAGGAGTGGTTCCAGCTGAACTTCCTTAATGTCTCGTGCAATTACTCGTAATATTTATTTGAGATTTTTCACTAGAGTTGAACATAACCGAACGTAGAACCCTAAACCAGTATTTCAGTGTTAGGCATGTCATTAGAGTAAATAATGGACACGCCAGCGATCAAAACAATCGTCTAACAAAACTCCGCTCTTGTTGTTGTCCCTTTATTCAGATCACTTCGCTTCAGGAGGAGGAGGATACCACAAAGGATAAGGCCTGAAACGGCTGCAATTACACTTTAGCATTTAAGATACATTTATTTCCAGAATTGCAAGCAATAAGTGCGTAACCGTAACCGTAACGTAACGTAACGTAACCGTAACCGTAACCGTAACGTAACCTAGCGCCACAATTAACCGACAGCTATGGCTGCGGGATACCATCCCCTAACGACCCCACCCCCACAACCATTTGTGTGTGTAGACGAAATATTAAATCAGATAAACCACCGTCTCAGACTTTGTAGGAATTATAGCATTAAGTGAGCCAATTTGGACCTTTTATTGTTGTACTTAGAATGTTTTATGTACTACTCACACTGAGAGCTAATTGCTCCAGCACACATTCCAACTTACCTACATAATTATACATACGTACATGCATATAAAGCCAATGTATGTACGTACCACTTAGGAATAGCGTAGAATCTCTTTAACTGAGAAATGCAAATACAAACTCTCTGAGGGGCTAAAAGCGTAACTATGCTTAAAAGGAAAACCTAAGACGCACGGGCGAGGAAGCACTAATGCAAAAATCATAAAATGTCTATAATAAGCTCCCACTTAAGTCCCAGCCGTGGCAGTACGTCGCCTGCTTAAATGGGCTCCACAGTACGAGTACCCGAGCTGAGTAAAATGTATGTAGAGTGCCCTCTGCCCCCGCTCGAACAGCACTTTGGTAGGTAAGGTAGGGCTCGCACCTCCCTTGGATAACTTCAATAACTTTCTGACAATCAGAGGTTCTGGCCTAGAACGAAAACCCCAAAACTAAGGAAACCAAAATCTCAACATGAAAATTGATATTTCTACACAGATATTTCTATGCATGCCACAAGTGAAACTTTGTTAAACTAAGAACACGTCTACGTTGTGTAGTGTTGTGTAGTTGTAGTGTCCACTAGATGTCGATAGCCGAGCATCTCCCGAGGAACTGTGCATCTGGATATGGATATGGATACGGATATGGACTTGGATATAGATATGATATGATATACGCATATATGTATGTATGTAGTAAACTTATATGGATCAATGTACACACTGTCTATGTCTATTAAACCGAAATTAAACTCTACTCAACTTTACTGCGAAACAGCAACACGCAAGTCTCACGGGTTATTGGTTATTCTTTGGTGTTTCGCTGAACTGGAGATCAGGGGGCTCCGAATTCAGGAACCTAATTGGTCACGCACATGCAGCGAACTGACAACGATTAATTTTGCTTTGTTTCATTTCATTATGCACTGCTTTCATCCGCCATCATCTCCTTTCTTCCCATCATTTGCCATCATTCCGTGTACCAGCTGTGGGTTGCGTTGCGTTGCGTCGCGTCGCGTCGCTCCGATTGTTTGTTTGCAGTTTGCGGCCATTATGACACCATTTTCCGAGCGAATGTCAAACAAAAGCCAAAAGCGTCCACATCAGCAAGCTCCGCATGGGATGTGTCAGAGACATGGCGACAGGGTGGGCTGGCGGGAAGAGTGGTGCTGCGACACACAGAAGGATAAACCGCAGACGCAGCCATTTTGTTTGCACTGTCTAATGAGAAAAGTTTGCGGAAAGCATTGACAATGAATGCTGCTGATAAGAGGTGGGGCGGGGTGAACAAAAGAACCAAGAGGCACAAGGAGGGCGGCGGGAGTCCTTCAGTCTTTATATGGGTTACCGGTTGTTCCTCTGTGCCCCTGAACAATGCGGCAGCAATAAACACACACACACGCCCATTGATCGATTGCTGCTCACTCATTTACGGCCGCAACTTAATGAACCTTACCACAAGGACTTTCTTGCTAAAAAATGTTGAGCCCTGGTCAACCCTTTTTCCTTTCAAGCTCCTTCGCCTCCTAAAGAGAAATTGGAAAAGGCAATAATGGATATCATCCATTGGGAACAGCGATGCGAAGGAGCACCCCAACTTCTAATGTTCTCTCTGAACCACCGACAAATGAATACCGAAACTTTTTTTAATTTAATTTGGGAAAAGCTCGAACATCACCTGGGGCCGAGCAATGCTCCTGCCAGCTCATCTTGACTGCTTCGGCTGCGAATAATTGCAACACAAAACGCTTCTAATGTGTATTTCGCCTCCCCATTACCGTTTAAGCTTTCACTTTGGCACATCTTCATGAAAATCACGCATACGCAGCGCGCGCCGTGAGCTACAGAAGAGCATTTGAAAGGCATTCCGTACCGACAGGAAACTTTATGGCAACGACTTACCATGTATTACGAACTTTCAGACATTGTCAAGTGAAAGTTGCACAGAAAGACAGCTAAAACTGAATAAACTTTGCAATGCAAGGAAAAGTCTCTGGATTAAGTGTGCCACTTGGCCGCACTTGTAATGTTTCCGTCTACCAAACGATTTTATCTTCGAATAAAGTCCACCAAAAATACATACGATACATGCACAGCCTATGCTGCTTCTCCTTTCAGAAATTTATTTCTCTTCGTTTAGAAAGTTACAAGGAAAAAGAGAAATGACCAAATTGTGTTTGTTATCTTTTCTTTCCTACAAATTGCTCAATCAATCCTGGCAGAATGAACAATTTAACTGACAGTCCGGTTCCGGGAAATATTAGTTATATGCACTGCGAACTTTTAGATGCATTTTCAGTAAGCTCGTTGTGGTGTAAAACATCCTATAGATTTTCTTCATGCTCTTCTTCCCCGTTGGAAATGCGACAATTATGAATCCGATTGCTGTTCCCGCTAGACTCGCTTCTGCACCGAATGCCAATCATCTGAAAGCAAACAACCATCCCTGAATAATGGATTTTTCTCTGCACCTACTCCACGCCAACTGCCAGTGCCAACTGCAAATCCTCCCCTTGGCGCCAACGGAAAAGAGTTTTTCCGCAGTGCGCTGCAGCCAAGTGATATCGAAAAGCAATTTCCGCTATTACTACGGCATCTCCCTAATCCGCGCAACGGATGGAAATAAACGAGGGCACCAGAGACACGCCGCGTGCACAGAAGCTGAATTAAACGGACAAGGCAAGGCGTTGCCAGGACAACGCACACAAGTAGTCCCAGCAACCGAAGTCAATAGTCAAGTCAAATATAATAAACAGATTGAAACAGAATAGAGGTAGCCCGAAGGCAACCAGGCCAATCCCGAATATACAATATAAATCGAATTCCCGTGAAGATGTTTTGGGGTCTCAGCTCAGCGGTCGACTTATACGCGGAGTATGTGAACGCGTTCAAGATCAAGAATGAGCCGCTGTCCGATCAGCAGGAGGGGGGATGCGGGGACGGAGCAGCTCCTTCCGGGGCTCTCAACATTTTGATCTGCGGCGGAGCCGATCCGCGCCATATAATCAAGACACTGGCCAAACGCTACACATACAAAAACAAGCCCAAGCTGAACATATACGTGCTGGACGGGTGTGCCGAGATAGCGGCCCGCAATATGCTGCTTCTGGGTGTGGCCCTGGAGGCGCCAGAGTCCTTCAGCTTGGGCTACAAGGCGCACCTTTTCATGGACATCTACGGGAACTCGTTGATGCGGCCGAGCTCCCACCACTACATGGCAGCCAAGGCTCGCACACTGCTCAAAATGGTCACCGACGAGGAGGAGCTTCGACGCCTGGCGCCCATGCTCAGTTTGGATGGGCTAAAGTACAAGGAGCGCGACGGCCTCGAGATGGCCTTCAGCTTCTGGCAGCCCCAGCCATGGCACCAGTACAACATTGCCACCTACTGGGAGCAGCGATCGCGTGCCCTGCTGGGCACTCGCTACGACCACCGCAACGGCGCCTTCGACTGGGACCTGAGCATGACCCTGAAGGAGCGCGAGGGCCAGCAGATCTGCTCGCAGGAGTACCGCTACTGGCGGGAGTGCGGGGTGGCCTTCGTTTTCCCCGAGTACGAACAGTGCAAGCCAAACAAGACATTCGCTGCGGGGCTGGTGCGCAACGGACGCACCTATCTGCACCGCGGCTACGTGGGCGACATCCAAACGGGCCCCTTCTGCGGCTTTGGGCTGCGGAGCGCCGAGGAGCGTATGCACAACTCCGTGCACGGCGACAACGACTATCGGGCCACAGACGTGACCGAGCGCAATCTGCTCGAGCTGTTCCACGAGCTGCAGACCCATACCGTCTATGAGCACGATTCCACTCGATCGCGCCGCTACGGATCGGTTCAGTTGCTCATGACGCCGCTACTCACCCACAACGAGTGCGATGCCGAGGGCCAAGTGAGCTACGATCGACCCTGGATTCAGGTGCCCGATGTGACCGTGCACTATTTGTCGCCCATGGAGATGGTGCAGCTGCAACAGGGAGCGGCACGCTGGACCAACACCTTTGACATTGCCTTCGTTGCCTACAACTACTTCTCCTTCCTGAGCAAAGAGTTCTTCCAGTGCCTGCGTGCCGAGGCCCTGTTCCTTTTGGAGACGAAGCTGATGACGGTGGAGCGCAGGGATAATGTGCAGAGCTACGAGGCCAAGGCCAAGGATCTAATGAAGGAGGCTGGCCTCAAGGGTGTTATCAATTACCAGGCCATCAATGCACAGCATATGCTGCTGAAGTACAAGAAAACTGAGGCAGCAGACACACACGAGGACAAGGACGAGGACGATGATCCTAAGGCTGAGGCCGAGGCTGATTCTGACGCTGTATCCAAGAGTGAGACAGGTCAGACCTACCAGCCAGAAGAGGTCCTTGAGAGCAACATGACTGAACTTGTTTAATTTCAATAAATTTTGTTTATTCAGTTCTCCCTTTTCTCTTTCTTCTTTCCCGCTGCCCATGTGTCCAGTTGAAACTCCATGCCCTCTTTGCGTTGACGCAGTACCTGGGGGGGTGTGGCAAAGGCCGTGGTATGCCTGCGCTCCTCCTCGAAGTCGAGCAGATGATCGATACGCACGTTGAGCTTTCTGGCCCGCGTCCCAAGAGCCTTTCGACTATCCTCTGCCCTTCGCTGGGTGTCCATGTCGACGACCTTTCTGCGCGGCACATGCTGCAACGCAGAGTCCCAATTGCCGGTTTTCTTCAGGTCCAGCATGATGTTGATCATTTGGTTGAGGGTGAGGGATTTTCCGGAACCAGATCCCCACTGCAGATATCGGTCCAGTGGCAGGCGCGCCATGCGCAGACCCAACCGCTTCGCCTTGGCCAGCGACAGGGGCTCGTTGTTCATCGTATCCACCATGGCGCCAACTATGTATATGTCGTCCGGGTTGTATGTGACCAGATCCTCGCGGCAGTGCGGCGTCAGATAGACCAGACTCCGCTTGTCAAAAAGCTCAGTGAAGCATTGCTTGTGCACATTCATTGGAAACTCCGGATTGAGCATGGTCGGGATGTAGCGCTGCAGGCTCTGCATGCACCTTCCCTCCAACTGGGCGTTGCAGTAGTGCAGATCGAAGGGCTCGTCGTTGAGGCGGTTCTCGGCGAAGCACAGCATGAGCTGCTTGGCCGCGTAGGAGGCCTCCCGATTGTTCATGTGCGTGTCATAGGAGCAGTCCAGCACCATCTTGGGGGCAAACTGCATTGCCCGCGTCAGCCTGTTGTTTTGCCAGTGGTTGATCGTTGTGTCGTAGATGCGCAGGAACATCGAGGTGTGGGCCAGGCCGTAGATTATGTGGGTGTTCTCCTCCCGCTCCTTCCGCATCTCGGCGATCCGGCGCTCTGTGCCTTCGGCTCGCTGTGCTTTCTTTCGCTGCTCCGCCTCCTTTTTCATATTTATCTGCCACAGAAAGGCGTAGTATTTAATGCGTGCGGATTTTGTGGGCAACGACAGCACGTGGTCCCAGTGATGGTCCTGGAAAAAGTCCAAAGCGGGCACGCGACGTCCCTCCTGATGCGCAATATCAGCCTCCAGCTGCAGCACCTTTCTCCTCTTCCCACGATCCTCCTCGGTTTCCGCTGGCCCATCGCTCGTCGCTGGACTGGACTGTGCAAAGGGATTCGCAAACTTCTTGGGGGTCCCTTCACTGCCGGCAAACGCATTTTCGCCGCCGAAGGTTTTGAATGAATCCGACGCTCTCCTGGCAGGCACCGCACATCCCTTGAGCATGTGACTCGCCAATCTCCATGGCCGTAGTGTTTTCAGCATTTTTCGGTCCAAATATTTGCAGAAATTGTTTTATAATTTCGAACAGCTGTATTAGTCGTCGTCGAGTTGTGTCAGTTGAACTGGTCGGAAATGATATTCCTCGGTTTTGATATTCGGTTTAGTATGACCAGCTAGCTAGGAATCCGTGCACTGAAAATATAATTTTATCCCATTAACTAACCAAATTTCTAAAAGATTGGCTAATTTTAAGCACTCACTTGTATTGCATTGTGTTTTAAAATAAGGAAAAAGTAAAAACTAATAAAGTTGGTTGAACTGGATCGATAAACGGAACGGAACTGGAACTGGGCCTATACATGGAATTTCTACATAATTTCTACATCGGTGTATTAGCACAACGAGGTGCATAGGAAAGTGGCAAGGTGTGTGACGTGTAGGGGACGGCCAACAACAGCTGATCGCCATTGCAGTTTCTTTGTTTTTTTTCCTTTTATATTATAAAAAACTACACAAAATGCTGAAACCCAAGGCTCTCACACAAGTTCTCAGCCAGGCGAATACCGGGGGCGTGGAAAACACCCTGTAAGATATCATCGAATCATTGAAAGGCAGTCAAAAGTAATCAGTGTCTGCACTTACAGTCTGCTCAGCCAGGAGGGTGCTCTCTTGGCCTACTCGGGCTACGGCGATAAGGATGCTCGCATTACTGCCGCCATTGCCAGCAATATTTGGGCGGCCTATGAGAAACATGGACGGAATGCATTCCGCGAAGACCGATTGACCTTTGTGCTGATTGATTGCGAGACCGGTCATGTGGCCATAACACAGGCAAGCGTTTCCAACAAATCACATTCTGTGCTCAGACCTTCTATAGCTCAATCACTTTGCTTGCAGGTGGCTAGTGTGCTGCTGTGCCTATATGCCAGGAGCCACGTTGGATTGGGACTACTCAAGCAAAAGGCCATGTCCATGGCCGCCTATTTGGAGCGGCCACTAAAGATGATTTCGGCCTCGTGAGGAAGGCGGGACCATGCCGAGTCGAGGGAGTCTCGTTGAATATATGTTCTAAGTTTATACACTAACTGTCGGTAATTAAACATGCCAATACACGTATTCTTTCGGATAGAAGGGTCAGGTTTATTTTTCTGAAATAGTTCTTTAAGTACACACAAAAGAGCTTAGATGCTCGTACATTGGAAAGAACTTTAGGACTTAGTTGCTAATCTGCTCGTCTGGGTCGCAGCAACCCCAGCTGCAGGCTTATTCGATGGCATACAACTTCAGTGTGCGGTCCATGCTGGTGGATGCAAGATACTGTGCATGCTTTCCGAAGCGGACGCCGGTTGCCAGGGCCGTGTGGTCGTTGAATATCTTCAGATCCTGCCACTGCTTGCATAGGTAAACCCTGGAAAGAAAAGCGGATGTCATCAATATTGTAGCCATAGCCGATGGCAGTACTGTGCCATGGCAACCGAAAACAAAGTAAACTAGTTTCACAGATAAAAACAGAACGGCTCGGGACGGTACGGATGAAATGAAATGAAAAAATTTAAAAGAAAAGTTTATCGCAAATATGAAGGTAACAGTGAAGTATTGGGAGCGATAGCTAGGGTGTAATTCAAATGCTTTGCTTGGACAGATTTCATACGCCCCCCGACCCACAAGGAGCCAGAAGCCCCCAAGCCCATCAATCTGTCAATTGATGACTTCAATGCGGTAGGGACAGACAACCACGTTGCGAAAGTCAGTGGCATTAACGTTTTGGTTACATTACAGCGCGGCGAAATCGGCAATCCCCGGGCTCCATGCGTGGTGACCACCATCGATCCAGACTACATAACCGACGCCAGTTCGCAGCGATTGGCCAAAAAGTTCCGCATGAAAACGTGAGTGAATGGGAGGGAGGGGGAGCTGGGAAAAAGCGAGCAGCCATCGAATACTTGTTCATTCCTTTAGAGACATTTTACTGCTGCGCGATATCACGCGCAACCGCTTCATGTACTATGCCACGCAGGAGATGTTCCTGGACAGGAAACGCGAGAAGGAGCACCAGGACAGGCTGTACGAGAAGTCGGACGACTTTCACAAGTTCGCTGAAGATTCGCTCAAGAAAATGGAGGCGGAAGAGTTTAAGAAAATGTTGGAGGCCCAACAGAAGCTGAAGATGCTAAAGGAGAACAAGGTTGCCGACGAACTTAACGAGGTGAAGCTCGAGCATCAGCGTGTCCTAATGGAGGTGCAGGAAGTCTACGGCCGCTTCCAGTACCTGCTCAAGCTAATCAGCTACTTCGATGACACGGTGGATGAGCAGGCAGAGGAGGGTCCGGACAGGGACAGGCTGACCATGCCCAAGGAGATCGTCTGCATGGAGATTAGCGAGCGACATCCAGCCGGCCTCGAACAGGTGCAACAAGTGCAGAACTACATGGAGAAAGTGGTCAGACCTTACCTCGCCAAGCGCAATCACTTGGATGCGGACATTTGGATTCGGGGCTACGAAAGGAACCGCCTAAAGGTCTCCAACTACAACCGACGCTTCACCCAGCTGGCCCTGCTCAATCACATCGTGGGCATACTCCACGACAAAGCCGTGAGTGGAATCCCGTTTGCATTCTTTTAGGTGTCTTCTTGCACCATATTCTTTACAATTATCGGGGTTCCAGCGAAAAACATTCGAGCGCAAGGTGACGGCAAACGTTTTTCTAAAGGACCCTGAGTTCCTGCAACGTCGTGTGGCTGGTCTCCAGCATCGTGCCACCGAGTTGTTGAGCGACTACGAGCAAAGCTACTGCAAGGAGTGAGTTGCGCTGCGGGCAGTCTCGGAGATCAGTTCAAATATATTTAATGTATTCTCCTCCCTCCCAGCAAGCTGAACATAAAGCTCAACAGCATTGTGCCTGTAATCCTTAAGCACATACAGAACAAAGTGCAGCCTGAACAAAAGAAGGAGGAGTCGATGCAGCCGCCGAAGCCCGCACATAAGTCGTCGAAGCAATGGCGCACAATGGAAGACATGCAGGCCCCTCTGGCAGCCGCCAAGTCAACGTACGAGGATGAACAGGACACGACCCTGGCCAAGGTGGAGAAGATCCAATCCTATGTTATGGTAAGTCAAATCATCCTCAACCTAAGCCTACGATGTCTAACATTGTCTAACGATGTCTTGGAACAGGAGCTACTCTCCCAGCTGGACCGCATTGAGCCGACTAAGCTCCGCAGCTTGGAGCAGCAGGTCCGACGCCGCATGGTTTCGGAGAAGGAAATGTCGAGACGGGCACTGGTCAAGCAGAATCGACTACACAACTGGATGGAGCACTTTAAGAAGCATCATCGCTTGCAGCTGCAGCAGCGACCCAAGAACAAGCTCTAATTCAATCAATTTCAATATGCAAATATCTATAAACCCGAATCAGACTTATTCTTATTAGTTAGGTATACAGAAACGAAGACTCACCTGACATCGGTTCCGGCAATGGCCAGATAGGTGCCGCTCTGGTCGAAGCACAGATCCTTGACCTCGTAGCCATCGTCCAGTTGGATTGTTTTAAAGTTCTTCAACTTGCGCAAATCCCACAGCTTGACACAAGCGTCGTCCGCTGCGGTGGCCAAGTAGTAGCCGTTCTCCGAGAAGGATATGGCCGAAATGGGACCAGTGTGGCCGGGGAAGTTCGCCACATTGCTCTGCTCCTTCAGATCCCAGATCTTGACTTGAGAATCGACAGTGCCCGTACCGAAAATCAAGCCGTCAGGATGGAACTGGGCCGTCGTCAGGCCAACCTCGGCCGTGTCGATAACCTTTGTGAGCAGCCGTCCAGTGCGTATGTCCGAGAAGGCCCAGTGCTTGTCAGACGATGTGGAGAGCAAGTAGTCGCCAGTGGGGTGTAGCGAGAGTCCGGTCACCGGTCCGTCATGGCAGCGCAGGAGTAGCTGCGTCTGGGATGTGGGAACGTGCCAGATGCGAATATTCATGTCGGGGGAGCCGGTGATGACTGTGTCCTCGTTGGGATGGTAGATTACTTTGGTGATCTTCTTGGTGTGCCCCTTGAGGATGGCCACAACCTGCTCGGTGTCCTTGTTGAAGACGGTCGCGTTCTTGTCATTGCCGCCGGTCAGGATCTTGCTGTGGTCGGCACTATTGATGTCGAGGGCCAGGATTCCGGGCACCGAAGCCGAATGCAGGCCAGGGTGGGAGGCCACCGTTAGGAAGCTCTTCACCTGATCTGGCGAGACCAGATCCTCAGGCACAGTGCGTCCACGCTTCTTGCGCTCCTGCGTGAGCACTGTGGCCTTGTCCTGAAGCTTCTGTATCACCTCTGCATTCATGCCAGCCTGCTCCATAGGGTGTGCTGCGGCCCCGCCAGCTTCAGAGGCCAGTGCCGGCTGTGGAATCGTCGTCGGTGCATTCATAACACCGGCCTGGGGCTTCAGCGTGGCCAGAGCCTCCCGAGCAGCGGCCACTTCCTTGTTCAGACGTGCAATTACGCGGCAGGCGGCGTCATGTTGGTACAGGGCATGGGACAACTCTTGACGCGTTGTCTGCAGCTGTTGGCGCTGTGTGAACGAGTGGATCATTAGGGCGTCCCACTCGTCCTGCATTGTTTTCAGAGTAGCCGGTATGCTGGTGGCACTGGGCGGCTTGGGTTTAACCAACGCAGGCGTTTTCAGCTCAATTAAATCCTCCGCCTTCAACTCCTTGCCGCTAATGGGATCGCAGCCATTCTCCAATAAATACTTTTCAATCACCCGCTTCTCGAAGACGGCTCCAGAGAGTGGAGACACGACGGGCGTCTCGGGGACTTCGTTTGTCACTGGGGGGACGGACGACGGAAAAAGTGAGTTTCCACTCAAAGTCGCTTTAGAAATGTACAGTTACTTACGTGCGCAAACCAAAGCCATTGCTATGCGTGTTTATATGCTGTTTAGCGGCTTCTTTTTTGCTATATACGTTTTTTACACGTTTTTCCAAATCAAGCGCAAAAATTGTCCGGCAAATCCGGCCAAAAAATAAATACCATTAAATACCAATAAATGCCATTTAAATACCATACCATAAAAAAACCAGGGCAATCCGGCGATCAAACGAGACTTAACCCACTTAACACCCTTCTATTTATAAAGTTGAGCACCCTTTGTTAAACCGCGGAAAATAATACTGTTTGTAAAGCCTCCTTGTAGCTCCATCCTCCTCTTTACTTACAAAACAAAAATTACCACCGACATCTTTCACCTGTAATGCGTAAAATATGTTAAAATTACATAATTTCGTGGATATATTAAATGCCCCCCTGGTCGACAATGGGATAACGATCTATTTTATTGATTGAAATCGTATTCCATGTGTTTGATATTCAGTTTAATATTACGAGTTGGTTAGCCGTCTCAGCCCAAAAAAATCATTTTATCCGATAGATACATTAACTTTCTACTAGATTGGCTAGTTTTCAGAAGTTCTTTTTACTGCATTGTTTACATAAAAAGGTTCAAACAAAAACGGCCAAAGCATAAAACGTAAATGTTGACTAAATGTGGCGTCATTGTTGCTGGTTAACCAAGTTTATTCTATGCGTATGGACTTTTGTATACCTTATTTCCTTTAATTGATGTTAAATTTGTTGTTCCAAGCTCCATTGAAACATTAATAATGATTTGATCCTAGATTGACATGTTTTTTACCTATTAATGCATATGTTTTGTGGTTTATAAATACATTTATCCCGGTTCTGATAGCTATTATTGGTACCCGTGAACTGCAAAATTTCGTTAATATCATTAGAAAATAGACTGAATAGTTTCTGCATTAATTGGAGCCTGAAATTACAAACAATATTTCAAGTCCATAATATCCATTTTCCCAAGGTATTCAGATTTGTTGCTCATTTCGTGTTAAAGTTGCACAAAATTGGTGCCTATTTCATGAGAATCGTATATTTATAATTATCTTGAGAGTCCGCCACATTCATTTGGCCATATAAACCAACCCAAATTGTCCATTAGCCAGACGGCCTATCATCAATAATAAATATTTTCTTTTTGTACCCAAAACTACTCGATATAAAATCCGTTACAAAACAAGGCCCATTTGGCGTTTTCAACTTTCAGCCAATTAAATCGTTCGAAATTTTCTGCAACATTGGGGTGGTTTTCTGGGCAAAGCCAAAAAAATCCATTGTAACTTTTTGATCGGGAGCGGCTATTTGGATATTGGCCAGATCCAAACAACCCCAACAAACTGAAAAAAAAAAATTTTTTTTTTTTTTTTTTTGTGGGCCTACTTGGCCAGACGGCCTATCATCAATAAATAACACTTTCTAATTTCGTTAACCAAACCTAACTGCCCCCCCGCCAACCCCAACCCCCCGCCGCCCCCCCCTCGCCATGCCATAATTTTTAAAAAATGTCATTAATATTCGAAAAGTGTGACTTGAAAAAAATGTAGTAGTGTATTCAAACTATGAGAGTGTTGCTACGGTTCCCGTATGAAACATGCGGCTCACACCACGAAATAGAGGGGAAAGCCACCACGAAAGCGCTCTCTTCACCTCGAAAAAGAGAGCAAGTTTTAAAAAACCACCACGATTTGAAAGAGCTAACAATTTCGGTATTTTTTGTGCGCTAAATATATATATACCGACATATACCATATCATTATCAATATATACCGTAAATATACTGACAGATGCGTTGATATTCCTCGATTTTAATATTCAATTTAATATTACTAGCTAGCTAGGACTCTCAATACTGATTACATAATTTTATCAGATAGATAAATAAATATCCTACAAGACAAAGCACTACTTTTAAATTAATTGCTTATAAAATAAGAAAAGGAAAAAATAAAATAAAAGCATAAGCATGGCGTGGCTACTCTTTGCCGCCAACTGAGAATTTGATTTAAATTTACAAAAGCAAAGCATGGCTATTCTTTTTAATATTGTTTCTAGAAATAACCGTCAGGATACCTTATAGCGCAAAGCGAGGTATAATAAGTATGACAATGTCGTCACACTGGCAGCTAATAAGGATTAATTTTTTATTAATACATATTTTACGAATACCCATCGAAATATATGACTCTTATATAAGATTAATTGATATTCAATTCATATCTTCGTGCTCCGTAACATTTCCGTATTTCGTCATGGACGTCTCACTTATGACGTCATGGATAAACTGGGTCACGGACTTATTACGCAGCAAAACTGCATAAATCTCTTTGTTCTATGCATTCAGGTTCTGCGACGGGGTCAGCAACAGTTTTTCCAACCACCGAGTTTTCAACATACCTTTACTTTTTGGGTGCATTTGCGCATGACTCTGAGAATCCCCCAAACCCATTCTATCCCATCCCATTAGGGAATGCACCCTAAGAGATTTCGTGGAAACTAGAAAGTGGGTCAACTACGCAATATCGTGATGATTAATGGCTTTGGTGGAGTAGAATGCGAATGCTACAATTCTAGTATGTTAAGGATGGGTGGTGTTGCATTAAAAATGTATTTATTAACTTAGATTCAACCAAATTTAGTCTTGGGTAAGATTATCCGAGCAAACTGATGCTTGCATTGGTACATTATATCGCAATATTGTTTTGATGGATTCTCTTAAGTTATTTAAATATTACTACTGCTAAATATTATGTACACTTGGACAAAAATACATCGGAGGTGCATGTATGCAGACCTCCTCTATATGACATTGTTTGGTGTAGCCTTCAAAACTAATTTCTTTTGGGTGCCAAGTCTCTGTGCGGGTGAAGAGAAATTACATAGTCGAGAAATACACTCGATATATTTTTGAGGATGTGGGTGTGGCTGGGGGTGGTGGTGGGGAGTGCGCTGCTGGCGGTACTGTAACGATCCGATCTGTTAAGCTGGTGTTTAGAATTGCTTGTAGTATATTATATGGAGTTGTTGTTCAGATTGTTGTTCAGCTAGCTAACTTAATTACAATCCTATTTACATGCTAAACATGTCCGCCCGCCCTTTTCTTTCGAGTCTACGAAATATCAAAATACATACAAATGTATGATGTATGCATGTGTACAACTATAAATGTCCTTCGTATTCGATCACAGCGCGCGCTCAATATCAAAACAAAACCTTTAAACAATAGTAACGCAAAGTTTTGTTGGTATATAAGAGGCCAGGTGGCACGGCACCAAAGGGTCATCCATTCCTCGTTATTAAATTTGTTTTTTTTTTCTGTTTGGAAGGGGGGGGGAGAAGGTTTTTGATTTAGTCTCAAGAACCTACTGCGTTGTGGAGCGAGCACGCTTCGGGTGGGAGTAAAGAGATATAAGCATGGATGGATCTGGTTCGATCTTCTCGGTCTTCTTCCTCGTTTGCGCCGGCAGGCGATCCGTGAATGTCTTGGGTATGCCAGCCTTCAGAAGCGCCTTGGTATCGTAGATGTCGAGATTATCGTTGTAGTAGGTGATGGCATCCCAGCACATTTCGCTCAGCTTTGGCACGGTCATCCACATCTTGTAGAGGCCGTTGCGTCGCCGCATCTCCTTGTCATTGTACTCGATGCCCCCGAACACGTACATGCAGCCGTTGTCCGAATGTGCGGCCGAATGGAAGTACAAGGGTCGTGGCAGACTTGTCTCAATGAGGAACCACTGTTTGGTGCGCATATTCAGCTTCCAAATGTCCGAGAAGTATGTCGAAAAGTCACCCTAAGCATGGGGGTGAAAAGTTGGCAAAATATGAATATTATATATTTCAAGCAGTAAGCCCTGAACGCACCTGTAAGCCACCCGTTATGAAGGCTTCGATGTCTCCGTTGGTGGACTGGTGTTGCACACACGAGAAGCACTTGCGTGGCTTTGGATAGCCTTTATTGTTCTGCGCCAGATCGACGATCCGTCTATCTGGGAAAGTGTCAAAGTAGTCCCAGCAGTTAGCATCCAAGTTGTACGCCGGAATGCGCTGCAGATCGTAGACAGAGTGTGAAGTGCCGCCGCCAAGCACAAACACGTGCTTTCCATCGTAGATCACCTCGTGACGGTAGCGGCCCTCGGGATCTTCGCGCATCTCCGGCCGACTAATGTACACATTCTCCCACACTCCTGTGTGCAGGTCCAAGCGGTAGACGTCGCAGGTATAGTCGAAGCCAGTCGTTCCCCCGATTGTGTACAGATAATTCTTGTGGATCACAATACCTGGACCGTATTGGGCCGTTGGCAGATCCCCAGTGACCTTTAGGCGCTCGACGGCAGGCGTCGCCCCAACACTAGCCGTTCGATACACATAGCAATCGTTCGAGCAGGACTCCCCGAATGGATAGCCAGTACCTCCATGAGACTGCAAAGAGCAATAGAACGATCAATTGAAACATATGTATTTATCTCCATTTCGTACCTAGGAAGCGAGTAGTGGGTGATGTGTGTGCATTTGCACGCCCCTGAAATTGCTGGCGATGCATTAAATTAGAAGATATTGAGCCCACAAAGCCAATGACAGCCACTGCTTATCTGCTCGGGAGGGAACCGAATAGAGGCCTGAGCCTCTGCGGCGTCGCCCCAGATAAGCGGACACATTCGTCTCCATTATATTTTGTGTGTATCGGTCATGATTCGTCATCAAATTACTGCTAATTGAGGAGTGCACAGTATAGGAAAAGGGCATTTGCAGCCAAGAGCCAGCATAAAATGCCAAAGGCAGTCAGTCACAGTAGTCCCCCACAAAAGCGCGCGCGCTCTCAGCTGCGATTAGAGGGAGGATGTGGCGGGCATGGGCAGGGAAGCGATTTTGTTTTTCATCGCGAGTTCGGGAGGAGGGAAAAGCTGGAAAACAAGTTGTTGCATGCCGCAGCATAAACAACAACTGCGTAGTAACTAAAATGGAAAGCAAAACAACAGAAAGAGGGTTGGACTCGCATGGCATGCGCACAGACAGGGACGGAGACAGACACATAGGCCGAGACCGAGGCGGACAGAGAGGGAGAGAGAGACAGACATTGAGACTGCTGCAGTGGCAACGGCAATGGCCATGGGGGCAGTTGTTGGCGCTCGGAATCGGGCGATTCCCGTTTGTTTGGGCTGACATTTCGAGTGTTTAGAATGCATAAACAAAGCGGAGAGGCGGAAGAGCATCGAGGGCAGGGCAGGGCAGGGCGTGGCATTGGCCCAGGCATTCATCCGTATTGCACGGAGAGCAGAGCTCTCTTTAACCCAGAAATACTTTCGTTAGATCTGCGAGATCTGCTGAGGCCCGTTATTGGATGGACTGCATAGGGCTCTGCCCGTTTGCTAGGAAAAACAAGTTTTCATTGCAATTCACGGAACGGGGCGGACATTGCGGGTCTGGGGGTTTCTCTAACAGTTTCGCTTTCCTATTCACACACACACGCACATTTTCAATCTCCCATACACACACCCACACAGAGAAGATCAGAGAGACATTTATCTATTTTTGTCTTACACCTCCCCTCTCGACAAATACTCACAATCAACACGTTATTGTGAATGGTCAATGCGTTGGAGGCCAGCTCCACAGGCAAGTTGCTGGCGTTCTCTGCATTCAGCTCCAGCCTCCAGAGATTCGTGGCAAAGTTGTAGCTCCAGAGCTCCTGGAAGAGGAGGCAGCGTCCGCGCCGAGCTGCATTGACAGCGCTCCGCGGATTGTAGCCGCCCAGAGAGTACAGATGCGAGTTTGAGGCGATGATGCGGTGGCCACTGCGGGCAAGCGGGAAACCTCCAGCGAAATGCTTGTCCTTGTAGGCGCACTTCACCAGCCGCAGTGGCTGGAAGCTGTACTGGCGCAGTGTCTTTGGCTGCTGCTGCTGTTTATCGGGGAATAGGCACACGCTGAGGGTGCTTTTCGAAATATCTTTTGAGTCCTGCTCCTCGTCACTTGAGCTGCTCGACTCATCTGAGTACATTTCCTCAAGCTCCGAGTCCGAATCGCCATAGTCCACATCCACATCATCGTCGTCCTCGTCATCCATGTCACTGTCTGGCTCCATAGCTCCTACGGCCTGAAAGCGTGCCAGCAAATTCATATGGTCATCCTGTTGCTCTTCGATCATATTCTCCCGATGGCCTCCCTCCTCTGGCATGTCTTGGTCTTCTGGCATTTCCTGATCCATGATATTGTTGTTGTGCTCCCAATTCGTTGGCAGCCGCAGGGGATGACTGACTTTCGTGTAGATGTAGTGCAGCAGCTTGGCTACGAACAGAAAATATCTCCAGGTATGACGCAGTGTCGATATAGTGATGCACTTGAGTCTGGCTGGTTGTAGCATGTGCATACCACGCTTAATTAACTGAATTATATAATAGACAATTTTGGCCCGCACAATTTTTGTTTTTATTTGGGGTTTCTTCAGAACGGAACGTAAAATATTGTCTAATTTTTACAAATTTGGATATTGTTGTTTTCGGGAGGGGGCCACGACCTCGCACAGCTGGTTTTGCTATACTGCTTGCTTTGTTGCTGTCATTTTGACATTCCACGCTCTCACTCACTCGCACTCACACACATCAGTGGGCACATCATATGTGCTGTGTGGAAAATGTACGTTTAAGTTATTACGACACGAATTTTTTATTATATTTTGTATTGCAGATTGATTAGGACTACATTAAATAAATTTCCGCGCATGGAAAACTACGCTTTAAAAAGAGTAAACCATCAATATTACTATCGATAGAATCGATGGTAGAAATAGTTTTGCAACTATCGACTGTGTAGTCTGGGGATTCCTGAAATGAATTTAGATTAAATTAGCCTTTTTTTTGTGTAATCTTTTCCACATAGGACTGCACTTTTGCCGTCTCTAAAGTTTGGTAGTTGATCTGTATTTGCTCAACTTGGCTGCGAAGAGAGAGATAGCACAGAGATTTTGGTAGCACAGCCAGAGCAGACCGCGCTCTGTCTTAATTATGCTCGCACTTGTCATGAGAGGATGGTCGAACTTAATTTGCGTTTAAGAGACATACTTAATGTTTTGTATTAAAATTTGGAAATTCAAAGCAAAAACGCGACGCTGTAAGAAAAGTTGCCACACAGTCATAGAAACAGTGTTGCCGTGAGCCAGTGAGCCCCTTGTTCCAACAAAATTTAACCGTTAAGCAAGTGAACAGAATTTGTATCTAAAACGCAGTTTTAGTTCGATTTGGGATAATTTTGAGCATTTGGACGACCAAAAGGCCAAGTGTAAGATCTGCAAAGTAATTTTGTCTCGCAGAGTAATCTTGAACAGGGAACAACTGAACTGAACAATGCTTGGCCCATTGTCGAACAACGGGCATTTTGCGCACAAATATTATGAAGCTTAAACAATTTTACGCAGTTCTGGTTAAATAACACTACTCGACAAGATCCTACTTTTTTTTCCTCAAGGACCAAAACCGACTTTTTCTGATAGATATGGGACTTTAATAAACTTTGGAGCTAAAATTCGTTAACCAAACCTAAAAAATGAAAAAAAAAATGAAGGTTGCAATTGGGAATTGGAATCGAGATCAGCTACCAAATGTACAACCCTTTTTCGTTTGCTTTGTTCCCATTTGGCAGTTGGGCCCGCAACCTTCTAGTCTCTGAGATCTAGGCGCTCATCAAGACGGACGGACAGACACACATGGCTATATGGACTCGGCTATTAATGCTGATCAAGAACATACATATATACTTTATGGGGTTGGATACGTTTCCTTCTCTGCGTTACACACATCCATTTTTAGCACAAATATAATAAACCCCTTAACTCTTTTTGAGTACGGGTATAAAATGGGGGCTTCCATACGAATATCATCCCTGATTCGATCGTCGGAAAACTTCGCGCGTCTGAGTACTATGCTTATAGTTTAAAATGAGATGTTTTTTAAATTTTTGGAAACATTGATGTTCCATGGCGAATATCTCAAAAGGTATGTGGGTAAAAACATATTAATAATTTGAATATATATTGTGACCCACATAGCTTTAGGAAGTTAAACCATGTTAAATTTATTATATTCAATTTTAATACAGTCGAAGTTCGGATATAAGAACCACTTTGTTCCTGGGCTGGTTCTAATATCTGAAAAGTTATAATTTCTCGACATATTTTTTGCACAAAGGGCAAGAAAATAAGAACAGAAAGCTCGTAAAAAAACTTTTCATTAAATTTTTAAATTTTATCTCTTGACTTTAAGTCATCAGCTGATAAAGATTTTTAGAAGCGTAAAATTCGAAGCGAATTGTAGATATACACCATGTGTTTCTATTTTTAATTTTAATTCAAAACATTGATGTCCGCGAACATCGATGTTTCGCCACCTCTAGTATACATCGGCGAAATATCATACCGATACTATCGTATAAATATAAAAAAACATTGGGTTCTTCGACATATCGATATAATATTAAATAGAGTCCCCATAAAGACCGCCGTCGACACACATTTTCTCATATTGTTTTTTACGCTTGTGTAATATTCGGATGCGGTGTCAACTCAATAACAAAATGCTGATCAACTATAAATCGAATAGACTTTGATAGCGATAAACTCGGATGTGGCACGAAGCATTGCGCCTGACGTTGGCCCCGAGGTCGTTTGGTGTATCATAAGAGTCGAATCGTCGCATTTCGGTGAGGTCCCGCGCAATCTGAAGGAATGACCGAGTCCAACCAATACTTTACTCCACGCATGTTTAAAATTGCAGCGCGCGTGTCATAGTTTTCAACCCCAATCCGTGGTAATAATAGTTGCTTTATTCCATCTAACCTCTTGAAATTCCAATGAATAACTCAACGCCGAAAAAGGGGACGTCGCCAATTACATTTGAATGTTTTTATAAATTGCACAGATTTAGTAGGCCACGACCCTTCATAACCTTAAAAAGGCACGTGCATTTGCTCCGTTTGCGGCGTAGAAGAGTTTCCACGTATATCAGACAACGAAACCGACACTGACGGAGAGCCTAACGACCGCTGTTGCGCCTGCCACGCCGAGAGTTGACAGGGACCGACGAGACGAGATGGCAACAGCAGCCGACCAGCTAATGGCACCTGCCGCCCTCGCCACGATAGCGACAGTCAGCAACGGGCAACAGTCTCTGCTGGCAACGACAGCACTAGCACCAGCAGCAGCAGCAGCGATGGCAGCCAGGAATGGACAGGAGCAGCAGGAGCTCGTGGAGAGCCAAAAATCCACGTCCCCAAAGCCGAGCCTGAAGCTGAACAAAATGGGCTCCGTGTCGAGCAAGGAGAAGCGTGTGTACAAAATCGTTTTAACTGGCGGTGAGTTTTCTTCCAGTAAACTGAAAAAGTGCTTCTCTTCGGCTGTGTGCGTTTTCTGTATCTGTTACAAGTGTCTATTCGCCTGGTCTCCTCTCCTGCCAAACCCCCAGGTGCAATTTGTTTCCGATTTATGTCAAGGTCGCAGGCCTGCGTGGAGGGGTAGCTTGTCCTGCGCGCAGCTTCCCCTCAATTGGCGGCGTTGGTCGTTTGATAATGCTTGGCTCCCATCGCCACTGCCACTGCCACAGTCACAGTAGGTAGCCGCTACCGGCTTTATTTTAAAGTCGCACATCATTTACATTTGAATGTAAAAGAGCGGCACAAACCTGTTTATTCCCCGCTCATATGATGTTGCTTGGGCGCGCGTGGTCTAATCATTTAATTTGGCCGAAGTTATGACTGTGATTAGCTAGAACACACACGGTATTGACGTATTGAAGAGGCGGCCTATCTTCTATTTGCCTGTTGCGCGAGCAGACACAAAAATATTCGTATACACATATATTTGTCCTCGTCTATTATCGCATTTGGCGGTATTGACTTCCTCTGCCGCACCACACTAATCGTAATTTGGCGACAGGCTGAGGAAGAAGCTGATAAACGACAGGCCCCATTCAGGCAGGCTCTGATTCAGAGTCAGGGGTACGAGGGCCCGCCCGTTCCATTCCACTTCATTGACTAATCCCCCGTAAGTCCCCGCCGAGGGCTATTTTTCATTGGGGCCTGCCCGTAATGTTTCCGGCCGATCAATTCCTGATCGATGCACGGACCAGGCACCAGAGACCAGACTGCGGTGCAATGACCATGGGGCATGTGCAGCTCTGTAATTGCAGTCAATGTCAGTCCCCATTCCAGCGAAGTGCACAATTGAGGAACAATTAGAGCGGTTCTCCGCCGCAGCAGCTAAGCAGCAACTGTTTGTTCACTGGTTCTCGTTTCTAATTGGAATTTGGGTCTCAATCGAGATATTTGTTCAAAGTCGGTCGGTCGGTCGAATCAATATTTCTTTGCCATCTGAATAATCATTTAAACGCTTTCAGGTCCCTGTGGCGGCAAGACAACGGGCCAGTCCCGTCTGTGCACGTTCTTTGAGAACCTGGGATGGAAGGTGAGTGTTGTGGGGTATTCGGGGGGCACTTAGTGTTATGTTAGCGTTTTTTGAGCTTTGTTTTGTGGCCACGGGCTGTTACGGCTGTAAGTAGTGCCCACTCCTGGTGGGTCAATCAGAGGGGCAGCAGGGCAGCAGCAGACTAAGAAAGAACGCCTTAAGAAAACTCTCTATATCTCATTCTTTCGTACCATCCTATTGCCCCGCAAACTCGAAACAAAGCAATGAGCATGTTAAATATTTTCAGGTGTTCCGCGTGCCTGAAACGGCCACTGTGTTACTCAGGTAAATGCTCTCTCTCTCTCTCTCCACTCACACACACAACCACTCAAACTATGAATGATTCAAACATTAAAACGTTGAAAAGAGCCAATCAAAGCGAAAGAGACCAACTGGGGAAGCTGCACCCTCAGCTTGGCTCCGAGTAGCTTTGCTTGCCTCCAGGCTGGGTCGCCCAGCCGAGAATTTGAGGACACATATGTATACGTATACCGACACCGATACCGATACGGGTCGAGTTCGTAATCCTGCATACTCCGACTGAACAGTCGTATCTCTATCATATTCGAAACTCTTACCTAGTAGACGCAACCTTAATCACCACCTGCACCACCACCAATGTAAATATGCTAATGCCTTCTTTGTTTCTCTCTCTCTCTCTCTCTCTCTGTTTCTCCACCTCTCCTGCATATCTAGTGGCGGCGTCAAGTTCTCTGATCTGACCGAGAAAGAAGGTAAGTAGAGGCCTTGCAACGAACAAAGGAGTAGGAAAGGAGTTTCACACTTGCAAGCATATTCCTAACACTCGTGGGTCCGATCTTCCAGTTCTTCATCCTTGTCCTCCTCCTCGGCCGTGCACTGTCAAGGTCGACAGTTTCAGCGCAGTTTCTCGAAAGCTAAAATAAATCAAAATATTTACTTGCGGGACGGGACCCACACAAAGAGAAAAAGACCTTTGAAAGCGCTGTACTATACGTACTATATATGCTAGATGTATTTTTAAAATCAGGCAACTGCGACAGCGACCAACGATGCCACATACTATAGGTAGATAGTATGTATATCTACATATGTACATACATACACACACATGCATATACTCGTATCTTTTTGCGTATATGTATGTACATATATCCGAATATATAGCAAGGCGGCCGCCATGAAAGTCACGTCTCAATGATGAAGCTTACGTAATTCCTTTGTGCCCAAGAATTTCCCGAGTATTTCCCCGATATCCTGATGAGCTGTCTCCGACAACTGACTTGAGAATTGCGTGACTGA